TTTGCAGCATACCAGTTCGTTTCTGTAACTACGTGTATATTGTCCATTATGGAAACATCAGAATGTAACTTGAAAGGCCCCAGTAAACTTAAGAAAGACTGTGGGGTCACTGATTTCATAAAGCTGAATATTGCTAGGATGGTAAGAACTGTCAGCTTTTTTGCATTGCCGGTGACCCTGATCTTTCAATCTAGTCCTCGTAGCTCTTTCATCATGCACTATTTTTTTTTAAATTTCTTCATTTTTTTAGTTTATCACTGAAGAAGCGCTGTCTTCAGATTCAGGAGTATCTGTGTCACTTTCACTGTCATAATTGCGCTCATCACTAGCCTGTTTCAAAACTCACAATATGTCCCAAGTTTCCAAACCACACAATGTACTAGACAAGTCATGATATTATATACAGTGGCCATCTTGTAGTGCACTCAGTTTCACCTGTTACTTCATGACATGTTTCGGCAACATAGTGCCATCATCAGGTGCCCTAATTACGCTAATCTATTGCATTGCTTACCATTATATGTCTTTATAAAATTATTTAAAAAGTGCGTATTTGTCAACTATAATAAATTTACACACACTAAAACTTGTTAAGATTATTCATCTTATGTGTCTTAATTAAAACTTGCCTGTGGTTCTTCCACTATGGGGGTTGTTTTTCTTATATTCTGCGTAAACCGTGTCTTGTGATGTGTTGTTTCCTTTTTGGGTGCGAGTGTTGTACTAGACAGTGCCATTTTGAAACCACTAAGCAGCTTGTTGCAAGGTTGCAAAACTATGTATAGGTCCTGTGAAATCATCCAGATGAAGGAACCAACTAGTATAGTGAAAATTACAATTCTTGGAGGTATATAATGCCACAGGTAGCTTGGCCTTCATCATAGAGGTACCAGAGCAGTGACAGTGCTTCTGAGAGCTTGCAGTCAGTGAGGACATATTCAGACTGCTGCTAATAGTGTGTTGTAAAGGCTGGTGATTATGCACTAAGGTTACCTGCTTGAGGGGTTAAATACCAGGAGTTATGGTTGTGAGTTGTTGCTTCCATACAACGTTTATTGTGATATTAATGGTACTTCAATCTGAACAAACTCTATTAGAGAATTAGTAAGTTTTCAGACAGTTTTAACATTTTAGTAATCATACTACATCCTGTAGATGAGTTTGTTATTGCTGTCAAGGTAGTTTGTCTGGTTAACACAGGTGCAGAATTTTCCCAGGAAACCTAAGAGAACATCTGGAAGAGAAGGTCAGTGACTTTGAAACAAAAGAGTTAACAGAACTGTTCAAAATCTTCCATAGGACCAATTTGACCACATGAGAATTTTAATCCACCCGCATATTCTCGTAGTATTTGGATGGGTAAAATATTACTTCTTCTTCTTCTTCTTCTTCTTCTTCGGCGCAACAGCCCAATGTCGGGCCTTGGCCTCCCTTTTCAAGCCCCTCCATTCCTCTCTATCCTGCGCTGCTCTCTTCCAGTTCCTTATGCCCATTAAGTTCTTTGCATCTTCTTCCACCGCATCAATCCATCTAGTTCTTGGTTTCCCAGCACGTCTCCTACCACCTATTGTACTATATAATATTTTCTTTGGGATACGCTCCGTATCCATTCTCTGTACATCAAAGGATATACACCGAGCGATTAAAACAGAATATTACTACAGACAGGTATTAACTGTGCATGGGATTAATGATGATGGGAAAATTGAAATATGTGCGGAGAAATCAGGATATGCAGTAAACCCTTGTCCAACATGGATTTGCTTATACATGCAAAAACTAACGGGAACAGTTGTTTGCTGAATGTAGAAAATGTAAATTTACACAGTCTGCCCATAACCCTGAAGCACAGCTGTTTAATTGCCGTTGCTAAGCAATGATACTTGCGTTGTCACATTTGCTTGAATGTGGGCAATTGCCACATTGTCATTGTAATAAATCATAACCACACCTATTTATAATGCTTTTGCTAATTTACATGTTTTGCAGTTAACAATTGTCATTACTAGGTGTTGCCTGCCAACAGATCCCAATAGTGTCCTCTGCTTCATGCTTACATATTTGCTGGCTGGCTGCCATCTCGCAACTAGTCGACTGACTACTCATTGGCAACGACTGATTCTGACCCAAGTCAAAGTCCAAGTCATGTTGCAACTGACGGTCAGTCAGTCGGTCTCTGGGGCTCATGACCAGGTGTTTTCTTCTTTATGAAAGTTGCTGTCCTGTCCATTTGGGATGCCCTCTCTGATGAGAGGTCGGGTCTGTCATTTGTCAGTCTTAGTCAGTCCATGTCAGTATTGACATATATTTACAACTTAATTCTAGTCCAAATTATTATTTTTCTGTACAATATATACAAGGCCTCTGTCAATCCAGGCATTGTACAGCAGATTATGCCCCTGATTCTGACTCAGCTGGTGGCCTTGTTATATAACCACAGCACAGACAGCATAGAAAACATCATTTCCAACAGTTTCTCTATTCTTGAATGTTGATTAATTGCTGTGGAAATGTGTTTACATGCCATTGCCTAGCAATGGCTCCATCCATTCATTCCACTGTTCTGGCATTCATTTGTCCTTTCGCAATATTCAAGAACACAGAACAATGCATATGTATTACGTTCTGTAAAGAGTTACAAGAAATGGACACAGAAATTTGGCGGTTGGCGCAAGTAGCATTTGGAGGTGCAACAAGAAGCCAAAAGCCCATCATTCTGAATAGGAGCAAATAGTCATTATAAGTTACAGACATCCTAGACATGCTCCATCAAGTAGGAAAGATGTATCAGTAGTTTCAAGTGCATGATTTAGTTTGCAGTGAAGAAAGACTGACTCTAAAATGGCTGAAGGAGTAGGAATTTTTTATGTTTTTCTTGAGGTTATTTTGACCATAGATTTTGGACTGGAGCATGTCTTGCCAAAGTTTGTTTCATGACTGCTAACACAGGAGTAGAATGAAACCGGTTTTTCCCTGTGCCTTCTGACTTTGAATAACCGTGAACTAATGAACCCTTCGTACAGAAGAAGGTTTTCTGGTGATGAACTGTAAGGTACTGTTTCTGCTTGAATCTAAAAAATTTCATTTCCATTCTGATGGAATAAAGTCCCCAAGTGTCAAAACAGAAAGATCATATTGCTTTCAAATTTGTATTGCAAAAGAAACTTAGTTTTCCCAGTAAGTGTTCAGTCCATACTCAAGGACATATATTGGAGTGTCCTTATAATTGAAGCTGTTGTATGATCATTGTAGAGGGCAGTATAGACCATTTCTATGGGCAGGTCATTTATAAGATAGTATAGGCCTACACAGCAGCATCTGTAGTACCAGAACATGCTGGAGACACACCAGACCAGTGATGGCGGCGAACATTGCTGTCAGGATAGAGCAGCAGAATTTGATCTGCAAAGCAGTTAGTGTTTATGATACACATTGTCTTTATGTTACTCTCATTTTATTTACACTCCGTTGACTAAACGTTGACAAAATGTCTGTGAACTGTTAGGTACAGTGAAGTCTTGAATGGATCACAGGTGACTGCTACAACATGGAATGTTATTAATCTTATGAGTACCACACATTGCTTACATAGTAACTGATATAATTTGTAATGAGGCTAATAATAATTCTTAAAGCACTTACCACTTTTCTTTTGGCATGTCATAGTGATTCATTGATTTAAATGGAGTCATACAATGGTTTGTTAAGACATGCCACAAACACTCATGGACAAGGTACTGAACTTGGTCATTTAACCCTTTTCACCTACAAACCACTGTTAGTAGGGTTAATTATGTTACAGAAACGTAATTGGCATTTTGAACAACAATAGAGTGTGGCGAGTAGGGTAGCATAGTTGGTTGAGTCACAATGCTGCAAGCTGGAAGGTCTCAGGTTCGATTTCTGAGGTCATCAGATTTTTCAGTTGATCTAATCCTTCCAGCTGCACTATGGCTCTGGGGCCTACTCAGCCTCTAATGAAAAATGAGTACCAGGCATCTTCCTGGGGGGTAAAGTGTAGCAAATACATAAGGCTGACAGCCTCACCACCTTCTGTTAGCCAATTGTCTAGAAAATGTTGGGGTCTCAGTGGTCTGTTACAAGGATAGCTTTACCTTTATGAGAGACTGTGATTGGAACTTGATACAAGGGTGGGAAATTTGTGGACCTACAGACCTGTAGATTGCGCATAACACCCTAGAAAAAGCAGACAATAAAAAGGCTCTTTTTTTTATCAGTAACTGAGGTGGATATTAAGTCTGAGAAATTCCAACAAATACATATGTTTTTTAATGTTTGACTTTATGCTACTACACTGGCCGACAAAAAATTCTGGATGCATCTTATTAGCCCATCTGCATCCAAGTTTCATTGTTCTTCACAGTAGACAATATTTATGTTCATGCAGGCCAATTCATTATTAATTTATGTTGGTACCAGATTGAACATATATGTGTATCCCATTACAGATTCACGACATTAAAAAATGTATAAAAGCAAAGATGTAGACCGGGGGGGGATTTTTGTGTAATACTGTCCATTTTTTGTGGGTTTTTTACAGCACAGTAATATCTGTCTCCCATCAGTTAGAAATTTGGAACGTGGTTTAGTTGTAAGAGTTCCTGGCAACAGATTTCGATTCCCGGCGCTACCAGATTTACTGAGAAGCAGTGGGTCTGGAACAGGGTCCACTCAGCCTCATGAGGATAATTGAGGAGCTATTTCAAGAAAATAGCGCCTCTGGTCTAGAAAACTGAGATTAATGGCCATGGGGATTTGTTGTGCTCACCATGCAACACCCTCTATCCCCTAAAATTGTCACAGACTTTGTTGACAAGCAGCGGGCGCTCTGTTGGTATAGTTTGCTTGCGGACTCAAGCCACGGAGTTTTTTTTGTATACGTTATGAACTTTTGTGACAATATTTCTTCGTATAAGAACCAGAATTGTCATAATTGTTCTTTCAGTATGTTTTAATATACGTACGTTGTTGACAAACAGGTGTGTACAAGAGGTGAGCCAATTAGCAGTGTACAGCTGTGGTCATCATGTCAGTACTGAATCAGAGCGGTGAGGAGCAGGTCGAATGTCCACTATGCATGGAACCACTTGAGGTTGATGACCTCAATTTTTTCCCCTGCACATGTGGCTACCAGGTGAGTATACCCTCTTGCAGCATTGATTTCAGTTCTCTGTGCTCATTGCATTATGGGTCTCATACTTTCATTTTCCAACATGAATTGCTGGACATACACTTGACAAAATCAGTGAACATGTATGGCAGTGCAATTAAGCTTTATATTTGTTTCTTCAGATAGAAGGAAGAAATTGATGAAGTAAGAGTAGATTAAATGTTGAGGAATGCTTCCTATCAGTTTGTTTGGTACCATCTGTCTTCCTGTCTGCTGTGTAGGAACCTGATTATTTAAATATACTTCCAAAAGCTTTGATGCTTTATTCCCCACTTCTAAACGTGCTGTTGATCCTTCCTCCTCATCCTGCCTTCTTGAGTCTCTTTGTTATCAGGAATCTTCATTGCATTGCTGCTCTTTGTAGATCATATGGTGGTGTCCGTTACACGTGTTTCATCAGTTTCTGGTAGTATACTTCCTAATTTTGTGGATCGTACTGTCTTCTTGAAGCTACTGTTGAATGTTTTCTATTTTGGACAGTGCTTGTTCTTACTGCTGCAACTGATGGTCTTAGTATTCTGACTTTCACAGCTACAATACCATATGTAAACATAATTTGTATGTCCAATTTTGTAATACCGATCATTGCAGAAAGAGTGTAATCAATATGGGAAGTAAAATATTTAATGGCCTTCCCCTTGAATTGAAAAGTGTTAGTAATTTTAATGTTTTTGAGAGGATACTAAAAAATTATTTGCTGTGCAGCACCTGTTCTCTTCAAAGAGTTTTTCAACTAGTGTTAGATTGATGACTAGTTTGTTGATCATCTTTTGGTTTGCAATTTTTAATATTGTGTTTACATGTTTTATATTATTGATATTATTCTTTTGTTCCCAAAAATCTATGAAAGAAGCTTTTCTTAGTATGGAAAGAGCAACAAAAAAGATGAATCTACAAATTAACCAAAATGAAACAAAATACATGCCGGTAACCAAGAAAGACTGTGCTAATGGACCTGCATATATTGAAATTGACTCATATAAATTTGAGGCTGTGTGTAGTTTCACTTACCTTGGATCAGAAGTTAACTGTAAAAATGACATCAGTGATGAAATAAAAAAGCATGTACTTGCAGCAAATAAATGTCTCCATGGCCTTAGGAAACACCTGAAATCCCAATTAATACCGAGGAAAACCAAAAGTATGATGTATAAAGTACTTATAAGATCAGTGCTATCTTATGCCTCTGAGACCTGGCCACTGTCAAAATTGGATGAAAGACTGTTAAGTATATTTGAAAGAAGGATCCTGAGATATATCTTTGGACCAGTGGAAGACAATGGAATATGGAGGAAGACGTATAACCATGAGCTACACAAACTATTTAATGAACCAGACATTATTGGATTTATAAAGGTGAAAAGGCTTGAATGGGCTGGACACACAATACGTGCCAGCGAGAATAGAACGATTAAGAAAATACTTAATACTAAACCAGAAGGAAATAGGAAAGTGGGAAGACCAAGATTGAGATGGGAAGAATGTGTGTGTGGCAGGACATAAGAATTTTGGGTGTAAAGAACTGGAAGGAATGTAATATCAAATGGAGAAGAATGGTGAGCAATCCTGAGGAAGGCCAGGGCTCACAAAGGGCTGTCGTGCCAGTGATGATGATTCTTTTGTTCTTATGCATCTTTTATTGTTATGTACCTTATAACTGTTGTTATATTATCATCATAGATCATTGTGTAATTTTAATGTGACTTTGACATGTGATGTATTCACTGTTATATTTTGACATATCCAATTGTGTTCACTTCAGTTATGGACGAAAATAGTTGAAGTTGAAGTCAATGTGTCATTGAACATTACACTCATGGACCTTTCATAATAGGGAATGAAGGGCACAGATGTTTACCAGGGTATAATTTACAGGGTGTCCAAAGAAGGTCAGGAGCCATAGGTAGCACTGGAGTTTAACACACGCACGTGAATATTTGCTCAGTATATCTGTCATTCACACAACGAACACACAAAAATGTTATCTTTATGCCAGGCCAAGTGAATGGTATGGATTATTTGTGGTGTGTTCTCACTGCGTACAGTGACAGTTCACTCTTCAAGAGGCCCAGTATTGCATACTTTTTCATCATTCACATTGCTAGACTTTCAGATTTCCCCACAGATAAAAGTTAAGAGGTGTAATGTCAGGGGTTCATGGTGGCCTTTCCACGAGTCCACTGCCTTTCAGTCCATTGCTTAGGAAACTGTTCATCCGCCCAGTCTCACGCTGCACAGTGTAAAGAGGTGTGCCACATTGCTGAAACAATTTTGGGTGTTCCACCCTCCTCATTGAGAATGCTTATAAAAGTGTTGCTCATAAGCATATTGTAACTCCTTTCTCTCACTATGTTGTGGAAGATTAATAAGCCAGTTATTCAGTGTTTCCAGAGACCGCACCTTACCATTACATGACCACCAGTATTCTCCTTCCATGGTCAAAACCAAGTAGGGTTACTGTCCAGTAATCTGTTAGCCAGTACCCTTTCACATAACTCCATTTGAATATGAGGATCCCCATCATTCAGTGCCTAACATTCATTTGTAAGGATGCCACTGATTTGTCTTCAAGGTGTGGTGAAATCTGGATTTCGGTACCCATTTTCCACAGCTATGTGGCATAGTCATTCCTTTAAACTGAATGTAAACCTTCAAAGTATTTGCCATCATTGTCATATCATGAGAAACACAGAAACATATTATAAAGGTTCGATATTTATCCATCACTAACCCCTGTCTCCATGAACTTCGGAAATCCAGCAGGAACTTTCCCTGGAGACAGCTTGGAGATGCTCCTAATCCATCCCCCCCTCAAACCAGGATACAGGGATTGAGCAAGGTTCATAAGGCTGAGTCTAGATGCATTAAAAGTGCAGTATTGGCAGTGCTTTTTGTTGCATAAATTCTGTGGACAATGTATAATTCAGAATCAGTCTTATAATGTATTGGGGTCCTAGGTGAGTTCATTATGTTATGCAGTTCATCTTCTGTAATGAAATGCAAGTCAAGTTACTGAGAGGGAAATGTGATTTATTAAAACTGCAGCAATATCTTTTTGCTTTTTTTATTGTCAGATATGTCGTTTTTGCTGGCACCGAATCCGGACAGATGAAAATGGCCTGTGCCCAGCTTGTCGTAAGGCATATCCAGAGAACCCAGCAGATTTCAAACCACTGTCTCAGGAGGAAGTGGCTCGTCTGAAGGCTGAAAAGAGGCACAAAGATCAGCAAAGAAAGCAAAAAATTACAGAGAATCGGAAACATCTTGCCAATGTTCGGGTTGTACAACGAAATCTTGTTTTTGTTGTTGGGCTTCCGATGAGGTTGGCAGATGCTGAGGTTTGTAGGATTTTGACCCAATAGCATAAGAACATCAATATTGTGATTTTTGTAAATGTGGTCTTGAATTCATAAGTGTTGTTTAAAGGTGGAGCACTGCATTTCATAGTCCTCATTTGTATCCACTTGGGAATTAGTTATACAGTGACTTGGCAGAATTGCTTTTAATATTGACAGTTTTGAAGCCACTTCAATTAAAAATTTGCAGCATGTGGTTCCTATTTAGAAACCTGGTATGAGGACACTAAATATATGTCACTGTCTCGTCACCAGAATCCAGGGCAAAATCATGACGTAAAGATTGCCAACAGATCCTTAAAAAAATGTGGCCGAGATCAAGTATTTGGGAATGGCAGTATCAAATCAAAATATGATTCAAGAGGAAATTAAGAGAAAGTTGGATTCAGATAATGCTTGCTACTGTTCAGTCCACAACCTCTTGTCTTATCTGCTGTCTAAAAATGTAAAAAATAGAATATACTGAACTGTAATTTTACCTGTGGTTCTGTATGGGTGTTGAACTTGGTCTTAACATTGATGGGGTGAATATAGATGGAGGGTGTTGAGAATATTTAGACTAAAGAGAGATGAAGTGACAGAAAGCTGGAGAAAATTACATAATGAGGAGCTTCATAACTTGTACTCTTCTCCAAGTATAATTAGAATGACCACATCAAGGAGGAAGAGATGGGCAGGGCATATAGCATGAAAGTGAGAGAAAAGGAATGCATATAAGATATTGGTGGGAAAGCCAGAAGGAAAGTGACAACTAGAAAGACTAAGACATCATTGGTTGGATAATATTGAAATGGATCTTACAGGTATAGGATGGGGTGGTATGGACTGGTTTGATCTGGCTCAGGATAGGGACGACGGGAGGGCTCTTATGAACATGGTAATGAACCTTTGGGCCCTGTACAATTTTTGGAAATTCTTGAATAGCTGTTGGCTTCTGAAGAAGGAGTGTGCTCCTTGTATGTCTTAAAAAATAAAGTTAACACATTGAAATACTTGATGTTTTCTATAAATTCTATAAATAATTTGTCTGTTTAAGAAATGTGAATGGATTCTCTTTTTATGTTTGTGTCCACGTATATGTGAACTTATGTATGTTAAAATTAATTAAATTCACTTAGTGGGGGGTGGAGTCCATCTGGGCCCACTCAGCACGGCGGCCACTGATTGGCGTATTGTAGCCTGTCCCGAGTGATTATGATGATGGACAATTTGGTGGGATGAAGATTGGCAGGGGAAACCGAAGTACTCGGAGAAACCCCACCCCAGTACCACTTTGTCCACCACAAATCCCACTTAACCAGACCCGGGATCGAACCTGGGCTGCCGTTGTGGGAAGCTAGCGACTAACCGCTTGAGCTATGGCACAGCCAAACATATATATGTTAAAATTGTTACAGAATCAGAAGCTATATTTTGCAATTTGTATGTTACTCCAGTACTAGTGTCTTAGGTTCTGAGAATATCAGTATAATTAGAATTAATTTAAAAATATTAATATTCTTTGTTAGGTTCTGAAGAAACATGAGTACTTTGGCAAGTTTGGTAAGATTCACAAAGTTGTCATCAATCAGAGCACATCGTATGCTGGTTCTCAGGTATGTGTACACCTGTGTTTTACATTATTCCAGTTTGCAATACAGAACAGAACTCAAATAATGACATTAATCTGCATAAAAAACTCCGTGATTTTAGTCCGCAAGCGAATTATACCGACCGAGTGACTACCGCTTGTCGACAAAGTTTAGTGCCAACTTTTGAGGATAGAGTGTGTTGTGTGGTCAGTGCAACGAATCCCCACTGCCATTGATTTTGGTTTTCTAGACCGGAACCACCATTTCCTTGAAATAGCTCCTCAATTGTCATCACAAGGTTGAGTGCACCCCATTCCAGATCCACTACTTCTCTGAAAAAATCTGGTATCTCCGGGAATCGAACCTGGACCTCTGGATCTGTAGCCAGGAACACTGATCACTAGACCACAGAGGCAGTCCATTAATCTGCATATGTTAGCATAATCTGGTAAAGATGTCAGTACTGCTGTAGCTACAGCGCTGTACCAGTAAGTGTTTCAGTGAGCTACTGGTAGTAAAATATTTTCAACGCTTGGTCTCACATTCACTGCATGAAGACACATATAGCTAGATTCACTGTCACTCTTCTAATGACATTACAGAAAATAGTTATTTGATTGACAAAGTTTTAAGGTAACTCATACAGACTTCTGCTGGTCAAATGAGAAAATTAACCTCAGTTGAGTGTTTTAATAGCAAACAGAGATGTAGTGGCTTTGTTGCTGCTACATTCAGCAGAAATGCCTTGTATTTCAATTTTGAATGATGGTTTAGATTTTTGAAAACCAAAAATGAATTGAAAATGGCATAATTTATAGGCCACAAGGCAACTTTCTTTGTCCACTTTACTGTTTTCCAAGGAAGAGAATAATAGGCCAGGTACTGATCAGCTCTATCAGCTCTCTTCATAAACATAATATACTTGGAAATACAAACAGGTTTCTCTACCTGTCCATGTCTCCTTTGAACATCAACCATGGTCGAATTGTGAATTGTGGATTTGGGTCCAATGGAATTTGTTTCACCCCTGGATTTCCAGTAAACTGTCCCAAAGCAGGTGTTTTGTCTACTTTTCCCCACGTGGCTGTCTCCGCAGTGTTGCTACCCGCACTTTCGTCGGAGCTACTGTCACTTTCACTGTTTGTGGCCACAATTTTTTGTTCATCCCTGCCACACTCACTATCAGGTTGTGAGTCGCTATCACTAGCAGACTCACAAGGGGCGTCAGATAGCTCATCGGAGAACAAGTCAGATATTTCTTGTTCTCCAAGAAAACGCTTAGATCTCAACCTCTTGCGACCTTGATCCATTTTGCACTAGTCACTTCGTGCCTGGTGCACACAGCTGGAAGATGAACAAAGGCATTTTCTTTTGGAGTGGGAAAGGAAAACAGTGGGGTCATGTTACTGACTACGAAGCAAACATTCAAGAGGTCTGTCATGCACCAGTCATGCGTCTGCCTGGCACCAGTGCAAGGTATAGTGTGTTTCAACATAACGTGTCCTAAAATCATAATAATATGCCACTGGTCTGCCACATTTAAAAACGCTGGGCATAAATATATGCCACCGGTCTGCAAAGTTATAAGGTAGTAATTTTGATTCTGATGACTAGGAAATGACAGAATTGTTGTTAGTTTTGGAGTCAGCATTATTTGACAAGTCTGAATTTAAATCCCCAGTGGAAACTCCTTCCACACTGGGTTAGGGGCTGGGATTTAAACCCCCCCCCCCTACAGGTGGGATAATAGAACAGGTTTCTTTCTGAAGCACCAGTTTATAGATCTGCTGACTTGTTCATAAAAATTCATAATGTGACTAGTAAGAGACTTGAGGATGCTGTGAACATAGGTCTTTATATGGTACTAATTGTATTCATGTTGCAGGGTCCCAGTGCAAGTGCCTATGTAACATATCACAAGGCTGATGATGCTTTGCGGGCAATACAGGCAGTGAATAACATCTCGGTTGATGGACGGACTATCAAAACCTCATTGGGAACAACAAAATACTGCTCTCATTTCATGAAGAACCAACCATGTCCCAAGCCAGACTGCATGTACTTGCATGACTTGGGTGAGTCATTTCAATCTGTATGAAGCATGCTTATGTGTTAAGTTAAAATGGTAACTATTCTGCTGCAAAAACTTATAAACTTTCTGTGTATATTGTGACCTGCTGCCTTTAAGCTGGACTAGAAGACATCCATCGTTATGCAGCAGGCAGCGAGAAAGCATGCTACCTAGGAAACCACTTGAAGAAGAAGAGAACCTAACACTGCGCTAGCATTAGATAAACAGTGAATTGTTTTGAGACAGTAAACATGTCTTCCCGTGGGAACAAGAAAATCGTTTGCATAGCAGTGTGAATAATGTATTCTTATGGCAACAAGAGATTCATTGCATAGCAGGGGGAGAAACCGAACCCTTCGACAAGGTGTTCGCTATTCAGGTTATAACAGTCCAACTTCAGCAAGAGACCAGTTCTTATCCAACAAGGGACCAGTAGAGTTTGTATCCGACTAGAGCAGAAGCAAGTTCGTATCCGACGAGACCAGTAGAGTTTTAGCCAACGAGAGCTAAGGACAGTTGAGCTCCAAGCAGAGCAGAAGACACTTCACTGAGATTAGCAGTGTGAGAGTGTATAATATTGAAAAGGAAATGTCTGAAGATGTTATAAGTGCAAATACAGTAAAACTTGGTTATAGCAACATCAGTTTCTGCGACACCTTGTCTATTGTGTCAAATATTCAATGGTACGAACTAATTCGTCATAAAGCAACTGTTTTTATACCTTGCTTAGTACGACATGCACAAATGCATCAACCTCGTATGTAACGTCATTTTCATTCCTGAATTTCTCTGATATGGACATTGAACGTAATTTAGAAAGTGTGTATTGGGCAAGTAACAGGAAACAGATGAAGATAACTGATTACTGTACTCGTATCTAGGTACAGTAAGGCACAACAATTGATGTAATCTACTGTAATTTGGTGAGTAGGCCTACCTTTAATATACAGTATTAGTGCGGTGTGTATTGTCAGTGAAAAGCGCTGTAATATGTCTTTGATATTACACATTTGGGCAATTCCACGTTAATGTTACGTTAGTCTGTACTTAACTATGTATTCACTAAAAAATGCAACATTTTAACTCGGTTTTTGGTAGATTTTTACGTGACTAACATAAGGCTACTGTGGAAGTGCCCATTTCAGTTACAACGACATTCGTTTATAACGACACTATTTTTAGGTCCCTTTGATGACGTTATAACCAAGTTCTACTGTAATTGTATTTATGAGTGTAAAGAGTGATTGTCCAATAAGATATTCGTTCATATCTAAAACCCACACAATTTCTTGTTGCGTTGCCTAGGAAACGCACAACAGTATATTCAGTTTGTCAATTATTGCTGTGTTGTTCAGTACTGTATTTATATACCACATGCATCTCCATTTTGGGAGCAGAAAAACAGAAAACATGCTGTGGTGTAAGATATGAGATGTATATGTATCCGAAATATACACAGATGATTTGCTGTAGTGTATTGCTAAATGTACCACATTTCATTAATGTACAAAGTGATATTAAATTAATGTAGAAGCCCTCCATAATTTGATGCTTTGTTAAAAACAATTTAAAAATGTACAGCATAGGTCCTGAGAGCTTAGTTTCCAAGATATGTCACCATCAAACGGTGTAACATACTTCTCTATCATGGTATTTGTCACAATACCCACGTGATGAAGAATACAGTGACATGCTGTTAACTGTCGGAACCTGTAATAGTCGAGTTGGTACTGCCGTACAAGAATATGGGCCAGTTATCCTGGTCAGTGTCATCCAGACTTGGAGCTGCATCTCCGTGTGACAGGAATTGTAATTCCCTCGGCATGATATGAAGGCAGGTTGCCCTCGGGCTCTGTGGACACCAGTTATTGAAGATGCCGTAATTGTCACAGAGAAGCTCACATGATGTCACACAAGAATTGTGGCCATCCAAACCAAAGGTCCTCGAAATACTTCATGGTTATCAGTTGCATCCATACCACTACTCGTGGAGAGCACACCAGTTCCTGGATAATTGTCCCCTATAGATGCAGTTTTACAAATGGTTACAACACCACACTGTGGATGAGCTCTTTTTACATAACATTCTGTAGACAGAGAAAGTACATTTTACCTGTGTGTTGACAGCAGTCACCTCTGGGCACAAGACAATCCTCATGCATGAATGTGGGTATGAATTCCACTTCAGTATCAGTGTTTGAGTTGGAATTGTCAGGAACATTGTCATGGGCCCTCTTCTGCTACTTGTCAGGTTGACTGCTGAGCAATATTGTGGGTTTCTGGAAACTACTACTGGGGCTGCATGGAGATATGCTTCTACATGTGAGGCAAAGTTTGTGGTTTCACTATGATGGAGCTCCTACCCACTGTGAGGGATATGTCTGGCAGTGGTTGAATGCAACTTATTGAGGAAAGTTGATGGGACATGAAGGGTAATTTGCATGGGCCTCAGTGGTCCCTGGATCTGACATGATGGATTCTTTCCCTATGGAGACATCGGAAGGAACATGTGGTCCCTCCCAGGACTATTGAATATCTTGTGGTAGGATTCCAAGCAGCTGTGGCAGTGGTAAATGGCAAAATTATAAGGCATGTTTGAGAGAATGCCATGTGACACACTGCTGTCTACCTTGAAATGAATGGACACTTTTCAATGGCTATTGTAACTACTACGTGCTCATGGTTTGACCATTTGATAGCTTGTGCCATTTAATGGTGGTGCAATTCTGCAGAACGAAATGTTGCAGGGCATATGCTATGCAGTTTCTTCAAATTGCATTTTTAACAAAGACTCCCTCTATGGAGAGCTTGTGCACAAGTTCCATTTTATCCTGTATACCAGTAGTGCACTTTCAACGTTAGCCTTATGTAGTATTAGACTTCGTATCAAGAAAAAACGTTGGCAGTGCAAAGTACTTTATTTATGCACCTATAGGCTGCACTTAATTTTTCAAAATTTTACTCAGGAAAAGGTGTTTGGCCAGTATGCAGATCAGTCTTTCATACTTTAATAGAAATTGGTGCTGTATTGTAGGAGACGCAGAGGCAAGTTTCACAAAGGAAGAGATGCAGCAAGGTAAACACCAAGAGTATGAGAAGAAACTGCATGAACAGCTGCTCAATACATATAACCACAGTTCTGCCAGCAGAGATAGGTAAGCCAAGCCTTAGGAGATGAACTGTAGAATTTCTGGGATAGGAGGGTAAGTGGCAAGGTGAAGTTCATACGAGTTCTTCCCAAATACTTTGTTCTTTAATTTGCAGGTACTTTTGGTTTTAGACTTCAGTTGCGTTTTTGCATCATGTGGGTCTGAGTGTTGCTAATGTTTCATAGTATGTACTGCCCCCATTTTCCGGATTGAAATGAGTAGGATATATAAGTACTGGTGAATATATTGGTTCTTGTTCCAATATAACCATAGGGGTGAATGTGGGGGATATGTTCCTCATCCAGCCAAATGGGGACATTGGACAGGGAAAGGTGGTTGTGAAACGGGTCGTACAAGGGCCACAGAATTCATGAAGCAGCTGTCAGTCACTGGTGTTCCCAAGTGGTCACTGTTCAAAGTGCTTACCAGACATAATGTTGCTTAACCTTCTCTGCTGTGTGTCAGGCAACATTGACAGAGGAGGGGAATTGCTGTTACTGAAGAGTGGGAATGAAGGAAAATGAATTGTGTATCATAAGGAGAGATAGAATGTGGAGGAGAATTGTCTGTTTTGACAATGTGGGAGGGAGAATTTTTGTCAGACAGCCCTTTTCATGACACAGAGGACACTAAAAGGCTATTATCACTTAGTATTCCCAACTGCTCACACAACAGTTGCATTTTGTGGAAGGACACATTTCTAAAGACCCTGCATAATTCGAGACAAATTTTGAAACACACATGATTTTTGCTGATTTTTTTGGGATTCCCATTATTTCAAACTTCATGCATAAAGTGAGGCTTTATTATTTTTTTTATATCACACTATTTCAGATTCATGTTAAATGCAACCACACTGTATAGGTTAACTTCCTTTACTGTGGGTTGAGCAGCATGGAAATTGGTGGAGACACAATTGCTTGTTGAGGGTTGTTTTTGTGGGAGTGTGATGGAAAGAAAGTTGGGAATGGTTTTATGGTAGGAGGAGGGTTGCCCATTGGTTGAGGGTAAGGCCAGTTTCCTTGTATGGCAGTTGTAGCCATTGTTCAGTCTGTTGTGGGAATTTTTAGGATGATTCTAGTTGTAGTATTACTGTCCTCTTATCTTCTTCTCTTCTTGAAGTCACCTTTTTAACAGTCCTCTCGCCTTACCATTTGTTAAACTCAATTATTATCTTCTCTCTCCCACACACGTTGGTCGCACTTGTAGGTACTTCTTTCTTGTACTAAATTTTATCTCAGGGTTATTTAATTTATAAGGAGGTGAGGTTGTTGATTCGGTAGAGCTGAGGGTCTCTTTATCTCAGAGCCTTGAACAGGCCACAACTCTGAGGAGCAAGAAATGAACACAAACTACAAAAGCACATATCAAGTTTAGACGAATTATATTATTGAACACTTGTTGAGCCACTTCTTAATACAACTTCAAATCAGTAACTTTTATGTCTTGTTTCTGCGAGATCCTGTGTGTAACCTTGACGTCTGATTTCTTCAAGGGCCGGTGTGTGACTGACTTCGACAACTGATTTCTACTCGGACCTTCAAGTCCTTGTTTCCTCAGCATCTCTGCTCTGTCACACCCTTAAATTTTAGTAATTGGTTATATTTGAAAAATAGGAGTATCTTAATTAGATATTCCTCCACTCCATTTAAAGCTTACAAGGGTTTAAGGATTTCTGACTCCAACATATTTCTGTCAGAATTTTGACAAATGTGAAGCATGGCGTGGGATCATACAAACTTCACTCTTTTTAAGTTACAGCATGCACAAACTGCCAAGTATTGAATTCATGAAGAATTCTTTAGCTGTTTTTTCACGTAACTTTCCTCTAATAAATCCTCAACGGGCGTCCTCCTGTTTCTGCTGTAAGCGTGGGAAGACGCTAACTCTTACATACAAGAATGGACCTATGTCTCACTACACTTGTTCGTTGCATTTCATTTTGAACAATTAAGTTCCAAATTAATAAAGTTAATTACATTCAAATAAGTTGCGTAGCAGTGGGTCGGTTACAGTAGTGTCCTCTCTTCTACTTAAGCATATGGATGTTGATCTTCCAGATGGCTTAATCAGTAGCCATCTTCCATATTGAAAATCTGATGTGGTATGAAGCCGTGTCAGTTGCCAGGACAAAGGAATGTCTAGCAGAACATATACTGGCATCCAGACAAGGCTTGGATTTGAGTCCAAAATAGTTACTGCATTCATTGGCCCAAAGAACTTGTATTTCTAAAGCACCCCTTCTTCAAGCTACACAAATACTACTTTTACATCTGACAGGATATTAATATTGGATCTCATATCCAATATTTTATATTTGATGCCCATCTTGCATGATTTTTTTAAGAGAAAGTTTAAAAAAATGATCCAATCACATCAGACGGCTTGTAAATTAAATCCAGAATGTTATTATAGAAATAACAGAAACCGAACTTTAATTAATGCCATGAATGAAGGAAGGAACCTTTGTATGTGTTTGTAGATTTATGCATGCTGGTGTGTATATATATATCATAATTGCATAATAAATTGTCTCATAAATGAAACTTCTTATATGTATCAGTTATGTCATTTTGGATGGAGCAGAATTTTTTTATAATTTTTATTATCTTTAAAAATGGTAACCGAGGTGTTCATTTGTCATTACGTTTATCAGAAGAAGTAAAGAAACACTGCAATGGTTTTGCTCTACCAAGTTAGGTATGTACTACTTTTTTTCTGCAGAATGTTTACTGCCTGAAGAAGACAGGGTGTTCATGGACAAGAGGACAGTAGTAACAGTTTTAAAACTCACATTTCCATGGATGTGTCTTTGAACTTAAAGACTTGATTTTTCTTAAGTATATCATGCAACTGAAAGGTTTATATTGCAGAATATTTCACTTTCAAATAGAGTGACAGATTCTACAGACTTTGACCCCCAAGAAAATGAATTTGAAGTCATAGATATATAAATGTGAATTTCAAAAGTTGTTAGCTGTACCTTCATTGAAATTAATGAACCCTATGAATTTTAAGACATGTGCATAATCTGTATAATGAGACAGGACTGAGGAATGAATTCTAGAAATACAGTAATTGTTTTGTATTTCAGGAAACCGACACCATCACCTCCAGCTGTTGCTTCCAGCATTTCCAGTTGTCAAAATGTGTATCAGAGTGGTAGCAGTAGTACAGGTTGTAGCAGTACAAATTCAAACTCAAGTTCCACAACTTGTATTCAGGGCAGTCAATCTTGTAACAAAGAAGCATGGCCTTCACTGCAACCAGGCCTGACAACTAATAGTAACAATAATGGTTTGTACAACGTAACTGAAGTTCTGTTATTAAAAGAAAACTAATCGTTGCTGTATTTACCTAAATGGAAGACAAGTCTTTTCCCTACGAATTTCAGTACTGTACTGTGCCCACAGCTTTGCAAGTTAGAGACAAAAATTTGTTTCAAAGTCAGGATTTGCTAAGAGTTTTCATGAAGTACCACTGAAAGCTGTATGAGAAAGGCATGTATCAAGATCAGGAGCCATCAAAAATTTATCTTGAATGTGTCTGATGGATGAAATTAAATAATTGAGATCAGGTAGAATTAAATTGATTTAATAAGTGTAACCCTTCTCTCGAGGTTAAGTCTATACACACACAAAATTATTAGGGTTCGTCAATGCGTGTTTCAACATAACATTGATCAAATTTTTTTCATTAATCAGATAATTGAGGAAAAATGGGAATACAATGAGACAGTACATTGGCTATTCATAGACTTCAAGAAAGCCTATGAGTGAGTAAGGAGAGAAGTATTGCACAGTATTCTTATTAAGTTCGGGTTACCCATGAAACTGGTTAGGCAAATAAAAATGTGTTTAAATGAAATGTGTAGCCTGTATAGGTAAACATTTGTCTGTTAATTTTAAATTGTTTCATTTTGGTCCGTTACACTATCAATCACAAAGTTAATAGAAAGTCCGTCGAGTGTAACAATTTGTAGGTCACTTTTTATTATTATTTCTGCCTCACACAGCACACAGGAACACATCAAACCATAAGCCATACAACCTCAAGCTGATGTCTCCCATCTTCGGGATGAATTAACAAGGAGGAGTTCAGCATTTATAGCAAATATTTTAACATTTTAGCGTTTTAACTTAAAAAATAAGTTCGGATGAAAAGTGAGAACTTGAGAGTATACTCAACTATCTTAGCATGTTTTGTGCTTTTACACATCAACATATCATAGCAGCGTCCACACGACAAACATAATTGTGAACATCAAAAACAGTGACAGTGTTTCCATAATTGTAGCAAGTGCCTCTGATGATGGTTGTGTCAAACCAAAACATGTAAGGCAGAAATAATAATAAAAAGTGACCTACAAATTGTTACACTCGATGGACTTTCCGTTAACTTTGTGATTTGTCTGTTAATTTTACTATCTGAAATGGTCTACCACTTTATTACCACTGCTTTTCAACTTTGCTTTAGAATATGCCATTAGGAATGTCCAGTAAAACCAGGTGGGACTAAAATTAAATGGGACACATCAGCTGCTGGTTTATATTGATGATATGAATCTACTGGAAAATAACATAGATACCATAAAGAAAAACATAGAAACTTCATTCAGAGCCCATAAGGAGGTTGGTCTTGAAGTAAATCCAGAGAAAACTTTAAGTATATATTGCTGTCTCTTTACCAGAATTCAGGGCAAAATTTGGACGTAAAGATAGCTTGCAGATTCTTTGAAAATGTGGCATAGTTCAAATATTTGGGAATGACAGTAACAAATCAAAATTTGATTCAAGAGGAAATTGAGGACATTAGATTTGGGTAATGCTTGCTACTGTTCAGTCCAGAACCTCTTGTCTTTCTGTCTGCTGTCTAAAAACTGAAAAATTAGAGTATGGGTCTAGCTGGGACCACGTGGGGACCATCCTGTCCCTGTTATATATATATATATATATATATATATGTAAAACGGTGACTGAACTGCCATAGTTGTCAGTGCTCCAAGGGGCTTTCCCTGTTTTGAAGGGGCTCAGAAACTGGGTCTTCTACTGTTACTGTTTTGCAGTCATGAAATGTCTGTCAGACTCACAGCAACTCATGACAAGGGTCCTCTGAGGAGGATACTGGAAGAGGTCTCAACACATGTGGACAGCCTGACTACAAAGAAGAAGGTTAGCAAAGGAGTGGTGTAAGTGGAGAAATGTTCTCAAAGGAACAGGTACCATGACTGGAGCTCTGTTGCAGGCCCAGCTGGGACCAGCAGTGAAACCTTTGCTATCCCCATTGATGAATGATAGTGAGTTACATGCTGCCAACTGTCAGTAACCTAAAAGAAGCAAAGAAGGACTTATATCACGTAGAATGAGCCATGAAATCAACATCTATACTGACCAAGCGACCGCCACTTGTCGGCGAAGTTAGTGCCAACTTCACTGGATAGTGGGTGTCGCGTGGTCAGTGCAATGAATCCCCACAGCTATTAATTTCGGATTTCTAGACCTGGAGCCACCATTTCCTTGAAATAGCTCCTCAGTTATCTTCACGATGTTGAGTGGGCCCCGTTCCAGGCCCACTACTTCTCAGAAAATCTGGTAGCTCCGGTAATCGAACCCAGACCTCAGGGTCTGTAACCAGGAACTCTGACCACTGGACCAGAGAGGTGGTCACTTAATTGTATATTACTATTACAAATATATACATTGTAACTGTCTTAATTTAACATTTACTGCACCCCTCACACCCACACACACACACCTGATTTTATGTGGATATGCACTTGCACACACTCTCCCCCCTCCAATTCTCTTAACTTGCTAAGTGTTTCCACTCATGTAATATCTTAGGAATCTGTTTTTTGAATTTGTAATTTTTGTTTATAGGTAATAATTTTGGATTGTTGTCTGGTGGAAGTGGAAATACCAATAACAGTAATAACAATAACAGTTCAAAAGTTGAAAGCAGCCAAAGAAGGCAAAGGTTTGATCAGCAGTCAGCAAAAGTCACTAATAATAATCACAAGAAAAGACATACATCAGGGGAAGAGAATAGAGGGTAAGTGATTTTAATTTTAAGAACTGTATTGTAACATGTAGACCTGTTGCTAAGTAATGACTGTAAACAGCTCCTGTTGCTAGACAACAGATTCTTAACACCAGTGGACTGAGAAATGTTGTTCTCTATCCGGTCCATGCGACAACTGTGTGATGCAACAGTAGAACAGTTGGAAGCATCGTTTCATATGTGGTCCATGCCAAGGTGTTATAAGCAGGACATATCTAGAGTTTAGTTAGTTATGAGACATTTGCCAGCGAGTAAGGTACAAGCATGGAAGTTGAGAGATCTTTGGTGTTAAAAACCATTACCACGTGACAACTGGTGAAGATACAGCAGACTTAAAAGACTTAGTGCGTGCTTTAGTGATTTGCAGAGTGTACAAATTAGTGATAGTGCTATAGTTACTTGTAGCTGTGTTCTGTAATAGTTCAATAAATCCAGTTGCCAATCTACACCCTGTCTGTAGTCACACTCATACACATGACAACATGCTCTTTGTTTGCTGTACTGACATTTTATTCTCTATTTCCTCCAGACTGAAAGAGATTAATAGTCATGCTGATTTTCAGTTATGTAATCTTGAAGAGGCCATTGTCATATGTAAACAGTATGATATTTTGGTAGTTGCCCCCCCCCCTGGAGTATTGCTACAGGGATATCTGTAATGTAATTTTACTCAAACATATTTCATGGGCATTTATGTCTTCAGAATTTTGGACTTTGTTGATGCATACAAGGCTTCTTTTTTTCTCATTCTTATGCAGATCATCTTTATTTTCAGTCCACAGAGTAATTAGTATGTAATAAATGTTAGCTGTTTACAAGCAGTTTGATGATACTTGAGCTCTAAGCTGCACAAGACTCTTTGTTTTCGCTCTCTGCATGAAAGTCCGTCTCATTTTGTCTGCATTCTCATATCTGGTGCTATATACTCTCTTCGTAGAAAAAGGTAATCTCTTGTTCACTAGTGGAATCTCTGGGAAATAGACCATTCATCCTCACAATTCAAACTTCCCCTGTAACATACTTTGCCATTTCCAGTGAAAAGAATTTTGAGATCATTTTGTGTGCCTCACTATACTAGACCAGTCCAGAAGGCAACAGGGTTAGGTGACGTACTGCAAATCATCATGAAGCATCAGTAATATATATGTATTACTGAAACATAAATCATTACATGAAGCCATGATTGATAAGTAAGGCTTTCTAAAGTCTGCAGTTTGTCTGCATCATGGTTATTGTCGGTATTCTTGTTTTAGTTAGGGACAGAGGAAAGCTAGAATACTGTTAAATCTGGAAGATTATTTAAGAATTACTGGGTATTTGGACATTGTTCATTGTCCAGTATTCTAGAAAATAGAAAACAATGTTTCGGAAAGTACATCTGTTTCTGTCCTCAAGTGAGTATGGGGTGGGGGGGGGGAAGACACCTACTCAGTTGTGTTTCTTAGAAAGAGTTAACCTCAGCTTCACTGCATTACAGCCTTATTCTTGCCATAATGGTCTTTTCTTTCTTGGATTAAAACGCTATTCTACCCAATACAATAAAAAGAGAACTGGTAAACATTTTACTACAACAATTCAGAATGCAGCTCCAACACAATAAATATTAGTCCCTGAGTTTTCATGGCTGGAGCTTAATGTTGACTTCAGCTTTCAAGATTAGGCTGTGTAGAATGTTGAAGGTTGTTGAATAAGTCAAGAAACGTTGTGGAAGCCATCATCAGGGTTAATACCTTGAGGAAGGGGGGGGGGGGTTTTGCAGCGCTTGCCTTTGGCAGTTTGTCAGAGAGGAAGCCATGATTGGCTGAACAGAGGAACAGGATGCTCACAAATATAGAGTTATGTGGTTAATGAAAATAAGTAATAAACAATGTTATGGAGTTCAGGTGAAGTTGAAAAAAGTGAAAAATGTTTCAGTGACCATGAGGTTAATGGAGAAGAGTGTTCTGGGAACCAGATGGTCCTGTGAAGAGATGAAGAAAAACAGTATTTTTTTAATGACCTGATGTGTAGGACAACAGGTGATGGAAGAATTTTTATATATTTCCCTTCTCCTCCCAGCCATATTGATATGAAAGGGAGTTCAGTGATTGTTGGGTTTGAGGGAAGAGGTGAAGCCAGGTTTTATTCAGTCTGTATCCAGCTTCACAGTTAAAGTTATTGGGGTGTTAACGCTATTACAGTGGCTTCCCTGATGTTGTCTATGACAGCTGTTCTGTCAAAGTTGTTGCTGTGTTTACCTGCAGGCAGTTTTACACCATGCACTGCCTCATGAAATATTTGTCATTGTCACTGTAATAAACGGAATCAATCTGTGATGAGTCCGACTGGGTCGCCAAACTACACCGTGTTAAATGCATTCTCCAAGCCAGTGGCTACTTCTTTGAGGACATCAGCAGAACGACCAGGGCCAGATACATCAATACAGATGTCAAGAGAGACTACAAGGTTCTATCGGAAAGTTCGTGGACTAGGTCAAAAAAGAAATGCTGACTTAACTTGCTCAATTATCAGTGCCATCTCCTTGGGAATGTTTGCTGTGACCCCATTGTTTTTTCCATGCTTCAGAAGCACCATGGAAGTCATTTTTCTTAATGCTGTTGAGTGCCGCTTGTGATTCCCTTTGGATGTTGGACACTGTTTCAAAATGTCATCCATTCAGTTTCCTTTTCAGTTTGGGAAACAAAGCGAAATCACAAGGGGCTAAGTCAGGTGAGTAGGGAGGATGGTATTGTTAGTCATGAACTCTGTAGTTTTCAGGGACGTGGCTGGCATGTCATGATGAAAAAGCAGTGTGGTGCATATTTAAATTTTCCATTAAGATCTCCTGGCAAACTCCATAACTGATCCTAACGGTGTCAGTGAGCTCATGGATTGTTCGGTGACGGTCTTCATGGATGAATTCTCAAATTTTTTCAACATTTTCTGTTGTTTTGCTGGTTCTTGTTCACCCTGAACGTTCATCTTCAACTGACACTCGACCAACCTTGGAACTTGAATGCCATTAAATAAACGCTGTACAGCTTAAAGAATGTTCTTCAGAAAACTCACAAAGCATTTCAGTGGTTTTGGTAGTGGATTTACCAAGCTTCATGCACTTTAATGCAGACACATTGCTTGATTTTGCCATCCATCACAGACAAAACAAAACACAAAGTTGAAAATGCACTCATGTTAAAACAGTGCATGTTCACAGCACGGGGTCACCTGGCAGGCTGATGCAAGAGGCTTGCAGAAGTATTGGCCTCCCATCTCATCTTCTTTCACCGAGGCAGTTGCAGCAATAACAGTCCCTGAACTTTCCGATACCACCTCATATATATAGCATGTACACCATGCGTTCATGGGCACCACTGATTGTATATGCAGGCTGCAGAAGAAAAAGCATTCACACAGTCCAAAAACCATCCTGCTTCCTGTCTTCCAAGGACAAACAACTCCTGGCTCAAAAATCTGCAGTTTACAAGATGCAGCAAGATGTACCTCAGCCAAACAGGTCACCGCATGTCCACCTGGATATTGTAATACACTTCAGAGATGCTATACTGGAGAACTAGTGATCATTGATAGCCAAACACTTCTCAGCGACAGTAAATGGCACCAGCTTCAACAGAACAGAGGTCACAGCTAGTAACCAGTCATTCATTCCTACATTATCAGGGAAGCCTTCAGAAAAACAAAACATCCATTTAACATTGACTATGAAGATGGATGTAGACTAAGTAGAGCCTGGTTTCACCTCCAGACCCACCACCAATTAAAAAAGTAAAGTTATCACCGTAACAGGCTGTGAGATGTTGAGGTTCCCACATTTTCTAGACCATCAGCTCATAGATGGCGACAAGGTTGTTAGCCCTACGCGCTGGCCGCCCTTTACCCCCATGAATATTCCTGGTACTCATCTCTGTTAGAGGCTGAGGTGACCCCAGGGCCATAATGCGGCCGGAAGGATTTGGTCGATTGAAAAAATCCAATGACCTCATTGGGACTTGAACCCACAACCTTCCAGCTTTTAGCATAGTGCCTCAACCAACCACCATCATCATTTCTCCCCTTCTTCTCAGCACCACCTGGTTACCAGAACATTTTGATTACCTCTTTTCAAGTTCACCTATGCTGCACAGTTTTCATCCCTTCTTTTCACTAACCACACTCTTCACTCCATATTGGTTAGCATCCCACTCCTCTGATCATTCTGCGAGAGCTAAAAGAGCTAATCCCCCCTGGCAAAAGTCATTAACTGTAAATGTAGCAACTGTATGGATTACCAAAATGTTTGAAAAGTCTTCACATATTGGCACAGCGTAGTCCTGAAAGCTGAAGCCACACGAGAGATACTGTTTGTATAATCTAAGAAACTGGTTCTTATAAATGAAACTCAGTTTGAAACAAAGACTGGAATGACAGTTGTGGAAAATTTCAAGAATGAAGAAAATTTTCTCTGGTAATCCAATTTTTTTGCTATAATAGTTTATGACACAATTCACTTTTCCAGCATACTGCGATGTTTATGGTAATGGAAGATGATTCTGAATGTAAGACAGTTCCACACTAGAAACTAGCATTACTTTCAATGTGTATAGGAAAAGTTACAGTTTTTGTTGTTTCTGACTTAAGACACATCGTGTTTTCTTGCAGCTTCACGGTTGTTTGTTCTGCATATTTAATCACCCACAGTGTTCCCTATCATGCTATTACTTGTTTCCTTAACATTATTATGTGCCTTTTCAAGTTGCATTGGCATGGAGACATGTAGTGTGTGTTGGTGAATTGCTTTGTTTCATAATTTTGGTGGTACTTCAGGCAACCTCATGACATAAGACCTTGAAACACATTTATGTCACTTTCTTCCACTACTACTTATAAAGCACAGTAGTGTGGACTATGCCATGAACATGCTAAAAGCTGAAAACAGTTTAAAATCATCTAACACAAACAAAATTCAAATTTATGACCATGACCCGTGGTTCTTTAACACTTAAAAGGGGAAAAAGAACTTGTCTTCCATTCAGACAATGAGGTTACTGACCCCTTTCAACATGACACTGACATGCAAATTGAAAGTACTTCAGAAAACTCGAGTTCAAGAATGAAAAATTAAAGTTTGAATCAAGACCTACTACTACTACTACTACTACTACTACTGCTACCGCTACCGCCACCGCCACCGCCACCGCCACTACCACTACTACCACTACCACTACTACTACTACCACTACTACTACCACTACTACTACTACTACTACTACTACTACTACTACTACTTTTCTTTCCATTTCTTGGTTTAATTTAAAAAATTTGAAACACATACTAAAATGAAACAGAAAAGTCTTTTTGGTAAGGTTGTGTGAGTGGTCTGAGTTTTGTACCATTTGTAGAATTTGTGTTCATGTCAGTTTAAGTTTTAAACAAAAATGTCATGTTACTATTCTGTGTAAAAGAACATATTCTACTTTTCCTGAAACAAGCTTAATGAAAGTTGAACTTTCTTAATGTTTGAAAAATTGTGTTTTGATGTATGTAAAAACTGTTCCACACAGCACGTTTGTAACAGTTCCTGTATTGTACTTACTCATGGAGCTGAGCCCTTCTTGAGGAGCCTCCAATTCTGCAGCTACTGAAGAATTTCCCAGCAATTTATGGAACCTGAAGGTTCATTGCTATGTTCACGAGAGCCCTCCAGTGATCCCTATCCTGAGCCAGTTCAGTCCAATCCATACCATCCCAACCTTTCTCTCCAAGATCCATTCTAATATTGTCCACTCAACTACGCGTTGGTCTTTCCAGTGGTGTCTTTCCTTCTGGCTTTCCTACTAATATCCTATATGCATTCCTCGTCTCCCCCAATCATGCTACATGCCCTGCCCACCCCATCCTTCTTGACTTGATCATTCTAATTGTACTAGGAGAAGAGTACAGGTTATGGAGTTATTAAGAGGAGATTGAACTTGGGGAATGCTTTGCTACCATTCAGTCCAGAACTGTTTGTCTTCTCGTCTGCTGTCCAAAAACATAAAAATTAAGAGTATACAAAACTATAAGTTTGCCTGTGGTTCTGTATGGGTGTGAAACTTGGTCTCTGACATCAAAGGAGGAACACAGACTGTATATTGTAACAAAGTTAAATTTTGTTTCATAATTTGAACTACAATTTGATATGAGACCCAAAATTTGGATGACAAAGTATATTAATATGTTTAGATTTAATAAAATTGGTTTGTACTTTGTAATAAGATCCAAGGACAATAATGTCATGTTGATGATCTCACTTGAAGATGAAGCTCTGTAAAATATCTTTGTCTTTTCTTTGATGCAGAGTCATTTGTCAGAAAATGGCTTTCTAGTTCTAAAATATAAAATATTCTATAGTGTCAGTACAATGAAACACACTCAAAATGTGTTACACACTGATGGACTTTTCCATTCAAATATATAAATAAATGGGCATTTCAAATCGAATATAAGCTGAAATTGAAGTAAAAATAGGCGTTCACTTGTGTGTGATTATATAATTGTGTTTGTAAAGCTGATTGAACAGTTTGAATAATCTTTTTAACACTTCACTTTTGTCTGCAGGAAAGCAAAAGAGAAATTGCAGAGCAGCCTACAGGATGAAGCTGGGAATAAGTTAGTCCATAGTAAATCACAGCATTCAAATTCAAGATCTTTATTATCACATGATATGCATCAGAATTTGCAGTATTCTGCTAGGTCATCCAATAATTCCAGTTCTTCCTCATCAAGCGATGTGGCAAATGGACCTGCTGTAGAAGCAGACTCAGATATTCAAGAAAGTGATGACAGTTTAGTGAATATAGGAAACTCTTGTACTGTGTTAGGCACAAATGGAAGACAACAGTTGGGCAGTCGGATCCTGCCAGCTAATCACAGGACCACATTGTTTGAACCCGACAACAATTCATTTTTCTCTACTAATAATTTCACAAAAGTGGCTGCATCATCAACCGGATCAGGTGAGGACATCTCAGTACAAGTTGGATAATTCACGTAGAAAGTACTACCAGAAGGAGAGCCTTCATAGATGTTTAACACTGAGAGGAGTTTTATATTATTTCAACTAAAAATATCCGAACACTTCAGATTTTGAATTCTTTGGTACTTGCATACATGTTCAGTCCTAGTTTGAAGTTTTAGTTTGTGAGAATAATGTTGTTAAAAGTGAACTCATGTAGTATATTACAGTTGTATTTGTAGTAGCATATTTCTGCTACTGATTACATTTATTTTGTTAAATAAACAATGTGTGTGTGTGTGTGTGTGCATGTGTAGGGGGGGGCGCGTTCATGTATGTGTGAGAGACAAAAAATTCTCTTAAATCTGTTGTTACATATTTTTGTAGTACAGTCAGAATAGCGACTGGCTACAGCTGGACCACTGAGGATCTGGAGTTTGAGTCCCAGTAGAGACAAGATTTTTTTTCCTCTCCACACCATCCAGGCCAGTTCTGGGGTTCACTGAGCCTCCTATCCAATGGTTACTGGAGGCTCTTTCCCTTGGAGGTTAAGTGGCTGGGGTGTGGAGCTTACCACTCAGGGATTTATACATCCAATCCCCCATATGTCTTCATGGCATAGTGCTTGATTAGTTAAGCACAGGGACAGCTTTAAAATTTACCTTTACTCCTTGGCTGCTGTTTTGTTGTTATTGCATGACTTTCATTCTCTGTCACTTTATAGTTTCAGTTTCTTAAGCTGGACTTAATATATATTTGTGTAAATAGCAAATGTTATGAATGAACAGTACATGTTATTGTTTTTACTTTTAGCTGCAACAGACTGGCCAATCAATGGCCTTACTCTAACGCACATGCCAGATGTTCTGCCGCCTGTTCACTCATCAGAAGACTGGCAAGCAGCGTTCGGTTTCTCAAACTCAAGAAATCCATCAAACTCACAACACCAAGAAAATGATTGTATTGTCTTAACATCTAGCAGTCAGCAAATTCAGTCAGATGGTTCTAGGCTAAGCTCCAAGGTAGACAGCAGTGATGTTGATCATGGTTTTGATTCAAATGACCAGCAGCAGTCTCAGAATTTCAAAAAAAATCTCGAAAATAAATCATCTTTGGTGGAAAGTGTGGTTACTCAGTTTCCACCTCCTGCAGCAAACATCAGTGAAAACTTCAGAGTTAATACAAATAACAGTGGGCATTTGTCACAAAATATTGATACAGATAGTGGTTTTGGACCTGAAGAAGGAAATCCTGAAAGTAACTCTCTTCTGGCAGTTCAGAATTCAGTGAATCCTATCTTGACTTCAAATTCTGTAGGTGGATCTCAACAGATGTTTCCACATTCGCCATCATTTGTTCACCAAGATGCAGCAATATTAATGATGCATCGCCATCAGATTCCGCCTGTCAGTAATCTCATGAACCAAATTGTAGGCTCACAACATATGATTGCAAATGGCCTGCCACCTTCACAGTCAACAAGTAAATTTCTTGCAGACTTTCATTTGAGACAGCAGCAAAATCAGAACATAATGAAACAATTAAACTCACAATCTCAATCAAATTTTCACTTCCAAAATCATTCTTCGGTTCTTGATGGCAATTTTGTTGACAGAAATAAGAGTAACCTGACAAACGTAACTTCTGTTGGGGGCAAGTTCAGCGTATTGGGTGGTTCCGAATCTGGGAGTGAGTGTAAAGCAAGTAGTGAAAATAATCTTCAGAATGGTGTGGACATTATGGATGGTGATTTGGGCATTTCGGATGAAGAAACGTATCTTCCAAGTTTTCTCAACCATCAGCCAAAAAGTTTGGAACCAAGTACGGAACTGGAGTATGAAAACAGGGACGGAAATTCTATGAATTGTATTAATACCTCAGTGGAAAACGGCAAAGAAATATCGATAAAAGATAGTGGTCGTTTAACAGATGATGAACTGGGCTTTGATCCTTTCCATGAAACTCAAAAAGCCTTGGCAGAGATGATGGAAAAGGAGAACATGGTGGTGATGGTACAGGACCAGCACAACAAGCAGCAGCCTTCACATGATTTCTTAAGCCAGACACATCTACATAACCAGCACAGTAACATGAGCCATCTGTCACATCATGTTTACCAACAGTACCAGCTAAATCAGATGAACCACTTCAGCCATCAAGTTCCACATACATCTGTTTTTGATGGCAGCAAAGTTCTAGGCTCATTCGCCAGTCGCAGCCAGCAGCAGATATTACAACAGCAGAATCACAGGTTTGTTTTGATATAACACTATGCCCGACTCTTAAATGTGGTCAGTCAGGAATACAATACCAGTTGGTGTAGTGCTTGATACAGTCTTCACAGGTATGTATTTCTTTGTGTAGTCTTAATATTCTCAACCTTCTTACAGAAGTAAATACAGTACTGTGTTAGGGGTAGTGTTCACTTTAAACTGCCTTATAAAATAATACATAAATATAAAAAGCTTAATTTTGTGACAAATAAAAGGAGCCCTGTGCATTTAAAAATAACAAAAGATATTTGATGTAGTTGTGCTTGCTCATTCATAACCCAAAAATATTTTCTTTTAGCTGTGATTGAAAAATGAAAATGTTCTAATTTTTTTCAGATTATTTCTAACCTTAATGACACATTGATACTGTTACTTTTTTATTAGATTAAATCAGTGATTAGATATTGTTAATACATGTCGTTATATTGCCAGACTATAGAAATGAAATATACTTGTCTTTATTGAATGAATATAGTGTACATAGTTAAGAACTGAGTAGGAAGAATACATATTGTCACATGTTGGGTACGTAACGCAACAAATAACTTCACACCATATTGGATCTTAGCAAATTTATTGCACATTCGCTCTTACACTTATACAATTCAGAATTTCCCAATTACTGCAATCCGCAGTATCACAATTACTTCTCCTGCTGGAGTCACTGCCATTCACTCGATACAACTCAACTCGTAGCTGCTGGACTTCAACTCATACTGAATACTAGTAACTGGATCAATACTCACTACTCAGTCCTCCTGAATAGTGTCGCTGCTCCTTGCTTAGGCTCGGCACGGACAACATAGAGAACACATTGCTGCTCGGCAACAGATATCAGGTATTGTTGTCAGGTGTTTCTACCTGCGCATTGGCTAGCAATAGTCGCTGCACAGACTCGCCTGTTGCGTGATGTCACAGCCTCGTGGGGAGGGGCGTTTACTGAGTGTTGCGTAATGATGGGAGGAGTGGGGGTACGTGACATCACTCGTGGAACCGCAGAGTTCACGTGACCCCTACTTTCTATTGCGCCATCCACATTACACTATGATTCCAATTTAAATAGATATGTTCCTTAAAAATTATGCGTAAGAGTGTGTATATTAGATCCTTGTAGTACAGAAGTGGAAACAGTTTGCATGATTGGTGGGGTGCATTGGAAACACAATAAGAAATTGTAAATGTTTCATTTTAAAGACATACAATATCCATTAAAGGAGCCCATACCAGAATATACTCTTGCATGTGACACCACATTGCAGAAAGGATTTGCTGTTGAAATGTTATCTGAATTGTGAAAATCTATAACAAAGACTTGATATGTGCATTGATTCATATGTGTTAATTTGTGGAAATTTTTTGGTTTGCAGTTTTAAAAAAAAACATGGTTCAAGTTTTATATCAAATGCATTTCTTGTCCACGCTCTTTTCAGCGTACTACTTGCACTTCATGGTCTTTCCAGGCATGTTAAATGAGGGTAACATGCAGCACAATCTAAAATAGGATCGTAATATCCACTTCCTTATCAGACCTCAGTGACACATGCACATAGGCTAGCCACTGGCTACCTACATCATCAATGCATTCACACATTTGTATGTACCTTGAATTTCTCTATAGACAAATTATTCATCATTATCGGGGTCAAGCGGTAGCGTAGTTAGTTGAGGCACTATGCTACAAGCTGGAAGGTCATGGGATTGAATCCCAATGTGGTGGATTTTTTCAATTTGCCTAATCCTCTCAGCTGCACCATGGCCCTGGGGTCAACTCAGCCTCTAACAGAAATGAGTACCAGGAATATTCTTGGGTGTAAAGGGCGGCTAGTGTGTAAGACTGACAAGCTTACCGCCATCTGTGAGCTGAGTGTCTAGAAAATGTGGGAACCTCAACATGGCACAACCCTGTGGGCCTCCACAGCCTGTTACAGGGACACCTTTTACTTTTTTTATCATGAATATTAGGGTCACATTTTACAATGTCTATTTGAGGAAAATTTCATCACCTGAATGTTCACAACCAGGGTGGGCTTCACTATACATTGAAATATAGTGAATATCTACTGATGTATGAAGAAGTTGTCTTTGGCAGTTCCATTCCACTATACAACAAAATGCAATTGCAGAAAACTTCATGAGACTTAAACAGTATTTTTTTTATAGAAATATGTATTCAGTCTTAAAGACTGCATTCTCGCTTCTAAACATTTGCATGCAACATGTCCTTGTAGATTTTGCATACACATAAAGTGGAGACATCACTTCTGTCCTGTTTGCTTTGTACAGAATGGAGAATTGTCTGTAGAGACATTTAGAGCTCATTACAGAAACTGGGGACTAGGCAGGAACACTGTTCAGAAGTTAAACGGGTGATTTTTAGAGGATGGAATTGTGCTCAAACCAAACCAACCGAGGAAACTCAGTACACCTCTTGAGAATATTGAAACATTACATGTTGCAGTGACAAGGAGCACTAGGAAATCAACATGGAAAGCAAGTCAGCCATTCAGAATTTCAAGGTTATCACTCTGATGAATGCGAAATATGAATCTGCATATATTACATTTCAGAATTTATCAGACAGAAGTAAACACTGTTTCTTTAATATACACAAGCTAGAGTAATGACAGAATCCAGAAGCATTATGTGACATGGTTCACAGATGAAGGGCATGTTTATGTGAGGTGTGTCATGAGTAAAGAAAATTGGAAAATTTTGGTCTCTGGAAAATCCTCACCAACTGCAGGTAACTTACTGCTTTGTGGTAAAAGGGTAATGATGTGGTGTGCTCTTCCAAGCCATGGCTGGCCACATATATTCTTTTAAGAAATCAGGAATTCAGAGTGATATCTCAACATGCTGAGAAGTGGCTTGGCTTTGGTTGTGGACAGAGGATTTGAACATGAGCACGGTGCTTCATGCAAGATGAAATTACACCCCATAGTGTCAAGACTATGTTGAACTTTCTTCGCAATAAATTTCAAGACTGTAATTTCACACAAATTTCCTGAAATGCATACTTGTAGGCATTTGTGGCCGTCCTGCAGTCCTAATTTAAACTCATGTGATTATTTTCTGTGGGCAACCTGAAAAAGGAAATCTTACATTGGCCATTTAAGCTTGTTACAGCTCTCAGGAAAAAAAAAAATTGTGGAAGTGTGCAAGTCCATTAATGGAGATCTATGTTACAGAGTTATTAATTTGGTGCATCATTTCCAAGCGGTGAAGGAATTCAGTGATGAAATAATTAATACGTCTTTAATGAATAAATATTTCCTGAGAGACTGTATGTAGGAGAATAATGTAGCCTAATCAGATTTAATAAAATTATATTTAAACATCAAATATATATGTCACCATTTCGTGTACTTGCTGATTCTGCTGTTAAAGTTTTTGTACAGATTTCTTCTCCATTGTGATAAGCTCCAGTGCACAACAAATACCAGATTTTCAGTTTGTGGAAAGGATTGTTTGCATTTTTACTCAGAGTTTGCAGTCTATACAGAATGTTTTGGAATTTCACATTAATGTGAACAGGTTTTTATACAGGAGGGAATCTGAATAATGTTTGCAGTGAACGAAGTGCCATAATAACTGTTAACAGTAATGCCCAACAATAAAAATAGTCCAGCTGGTATAAAAATGAAAATATCGCTGTATGAAAGTAGGGCCTGGATGTGTGGAGATGTGGTCATTCATGCTTGGAAAGACAAGAGGATGGTCCTTGCATGTTCTGCTTGGTACACTACTGAGTTTTCTCACCAAGGAGAACAAGAATGCAAAAGAAGAAATTTCTGAAATCCAAGTGTCATTACCAGGGCCCGGATTTTGATGACCTGAAAATATTTTAAAAATCCAGAAAAAATTACATAAAATATGACCCAAGGATGTAATATGCAGGGCCCGGATTTTGATGACCTGAAAATATTTTAAAAATCCAGAAAAAATTACATAAAATATGACCCAAGGATGTAATATGCAGGGCCCGGATTTTGATGACCTGAAAATATTCAAAGAATTACCGAAAAAATCCAGAAAAATAACCTAAAGGAGAAGAGGAAGAACACTTCGCTTCCATGTTATTCACATTTCAGAAAACATGAAGGAAAATTCCCTAAAATCGCCAAAAACGACAAGAAATACCCATTAAAGTAAAAAAAATTACCTATAAACTTTACATTTCTGTAACCAGCAGCTCATATCCGAGATTTATACATTTAAGAGCATCGCATAGGATACAAGGGAAAAAAGATGACATGTCATCAAAATCCGGGCCCTGGTCATTACCAACTACTTAAAGAATGACGGGAGAATGGACACAGCAGTTCATTGTTTTCTTTACATAAATATCAGTAGGTGGCTAAAACCGTTTTTTTGGGGAGCTAGTTTTTGTTCTCATAGTATACTAAAGACCTATCATCTGTACAGGCTTCAAACAAAATAAACTAGCAAAAGATGAATACCACATTTTCATTTCAGAAGAAAGTAGGTTCAGGAGCTGTCTATAGAGCAATACAGTACAAGGTCCAAGGACTGGGATTTTCAGCCAAAAGATTTAATTGCAAACTACATATATTTATGCAACTATGAGCAATAATTCAGAAGACTGTGCAGAGTATTTCAATAGAAAAATTAAGAGTGCACATTGTGGAATTGTATTACTGTTAGGCATGTTCCAGAAATCCAGGCATACATCCTTGTATTTGCTTTGAATTTACTACATATGGTGAACTACAAAAGTGATAAACCATGGCTTACATGAGATAGAGTCTATGAGTAAGGTTAGAAATAAAGAAAATTTATTCTTATTGTGCTCTTATAGAATAACAAACATCTTTTGTAAACTTGTTAAATTGTTTGGCCCCTTGAATTGCAGGGTGCATACAAGTCCACGTCAAAAATTAAATTAAACTTTCGGAGAATACAAAACCGTGTGCCTGTACAAAATGTGCATTTACCTTCATGATAGCAGTGACTAATGAATCATTGCACCTAGGCAGATGACACCATAGGGATATTGGGCATAGATGTACTTACATATTTTTTTTAGCATGTGTGTGTATTACAAATTGTAAGCATGTAAGATTTCAGGCTTTCACGGCGGTGACTATGAAGAAAGCAGTCTTCTGGGATTTGGCACCGTGTATATGTGGTGTTAACCGACGTTTCGGGGGAACGTATCACCTCCATCTTCAGGGTAGAAGAANGCACATTGATGTCAACTCTTTGATGGTACAGTTCTCTACTGTTTCAAATTTTGCACAAAAATAGGTTACTGAGTTTTATAATTATTAATTTGTAATGTAGTCCTGCTTCTCTCTGCAGTTGAAAATCTTTTAAATAAGTTTTTCTCTGTCAGTATGTCAGAGGTTTGCATATCTGTTTTACTGCATTGGTGCTCATGTTGCTACCTCTCGTCACTTAAACTGAAGCTGCTTCTCACTAGTGGTATGATGTTACCTAGTGCCATCAACCACAGACCTAGTTCAGTACCCAGATTACTTATAGAATTATACATAATCTCATAAGGTGTATAAAATATGACTTGTCACTTACTTTGCATGTCTCACATGCTGAGAGCTCCTATTTTTATTTTTTTTCAGGTTACCACCAAATGTGTCTGGATGTACAAAATTGTTGGACGGTTTGGTACTTGGGCCTTCAAATGTAACACCAATGGTTTCTTCTGCACATACAAGAACCAGATTGCCACCACCAGGTTTCACAACTGCACCAAATCACATGAATGCTTTTGGCCTCGGTATTCCAAGAGCACCTTCAAATAACAGTAAGGATTGTTCCTATATATATACTTCATCTATTCTGAATTGGTACATTTAGACTTAATAAAATATAATTATGATTGTAGTTGAAATACTCATTGACACTTCAGCAGTTCATCTGCTTGCTTGCAAACATGCTACTTGATTGTGTTGTACTGTACAGTAATTTTGAAAGTCACTTCTGAAGGGTTCAGATGTTGTGTATAAACATCCAGAATTACTCAGCTTTTGGACATTGTCCATCATCCAGTATTCTAAACCTCTGAATAATGATTGAGGTTAGGTCATTCTGATGAACCTAACAGAGTAGGTGCCTCCCACCCTTTCACATGAGGGTGGAAAGAGATCCAGTTTCTCAAAACATTGTGTTGCATAGAATACCAGACAATGGAAAAAGTATGAAAGCTCACTCTTTGGAAAATTTTGAGAAGTATGCTGCTGTGTGCCATAGTACATATTCTGTGATAGGAACCAATATTGACGTTTTCTTAAGTTAAGTAAGTGTTTTTTGCTCAGAAGCAGTTAGATTAGATTAGAGAAGGAGAATGAAGCTGCTCCTTCCATTGTGCTACATCACAGTGTCAATGATTTTTGTATCTGATTTCTTGGCTGTTTGAATGCACTTATTGCAGGTATCAGTTGAAAACATGAAAAACGAAGGTGCCATTTCTTATTATGCCTATGAACTTTCACCTGGCTTTGGCACAAATCTCTTTCTACTCTCAACAGAATACACTTTCCTCATGTTCTAAATAAGAACTAGAAATATATAAAACTAATGAAAATAAGTGGTATGACCTAAGTTACATATGTAAAGAATCACTTACTCACACGCTCATGGAGCTGAGCCCTTCTTGAGAAGCTGCCAATTGTGCAGCTACTCAAGAATTTCCTAGCATTTCATGGAACCCAAACGTTCGTTACCGTGTTCTCAAGAGCCCTCGACTGGTTCCTATTCTAAGCCAGATCAGTCCAATCCATACCATCCCATCTTATCTCTCGAAGATCCATTTTAATATTGCGCACCCACCTACTCCTTGGGCTTCCTAGTGGTCTCTTTCCATCTGGCTTTCCCACCAATAGCCTATATGCATTCCCTCATTTGTGCTACATGACCTGCCCACCTCATCCTCCTTGACTTGATCATTATAATTATACTTGGAGAAGAGTACAAGTTATGAAGCTCCTCATGCAGTTTTCTTAGACCTCCTGTCCTCATACATGAGCACATTTGGTTGCTCTTAATAAGTAGATTTAATTTAGTTTTTACAACTTTAAAAATGTGATAAACATAGCCTGTTTTCAGAAGTATTACACTTTTCAGCAGGCCAGCACCACTTAATTCAGACAGTGAGCTTATGCACCTGGAATATATGTATAATGTATATGGTAATATATATGTATACACACACACACACACATATACTTTTTCTTTATTTTTTTCCAGGTAGCAAAATTCTCCCTTTCATGAGTCTTGGAAACAGTTCATCAAATAATGGTTCCTCATCTCCAGTTCCTCAAACCATGTCCAGTCATCCCAATAATATTGCACATACCTCTTCATTAAATCCTCAGCAGGGAACCGACCAACACTCAATCGTATTTTCTTCAAATGGTAGTCACAGTGCTGCAAATAATCACACTTTTGGACTACAAAATGGTGGTATCATCAATACTGGTGTTCCTAAGACATCAAGTGACTCTTTCACTGTTAAGGAGTGGCCAGAAAACCTGAGATCATTGCTGCCAAATTTGAATGATGTTTCACACAATCAGGGTGTGCAGTTTGCAGCCACTAGCACTCCTCCACCCCCTCCTGTTTTTGGTGCCCGCCATACGCCTATGCAAGGAAACGCACAAAAGGGTAAGCAAATGTAAGGAAAGCTATATTGTGAATATTCTCTCCTGACAACAACAGTTTTAAAGCATAAAATGAAAAGAAACTTGATACAGAATTAATTAGATTTCATCATAGAAGTTAGACACTGAATGTGAGTTTGATATCCAGATGTTCCTATACTTTGTTTCTTTGCATTCCAAAGGGTGCTGCATCCACTTCATGCAGAAGTATAGATTAGATGACATTTTTGTTTCTTGAAGTTAAGTTATTGTGGTTCATTCATTCATTATTGGAGGGGGTGGGTTTCCCCATGCACCGCGACCAGTTGTTGATCTATCGTACGTCCCCCTTTGATATTCTACCAGTCACCGTACCCTTCCAGTACTGGTGCTCGCTATCAACCCCGTTCAGCCAGCGAGTTCGGCCCCCTCTACTGGCAGTGGTACCTGATACTTCCCCATCAACCGGAGGCATTGGAAACTACTTGGGCAGGAAACTTTTTACCTATTTTGCTCAGAGGTCTAGAGACATGAGGATCTTTTACATGCCGTAAATCTACGACATGGGACCCACAGCTTAAAGTCCCTCCCGGAGGACTTGTCCCCTGAATTTTTCCACCCTTAAAAATTCCACGACCTCCGCTGGGTTTGAACCCACGTACCTTGAGTCTTGAGGTGGGAACGTTACCCCTAGACTACGGAGGCCGCTTATTGTGGTTGGTTACCTTTCTAATTGTTCTATTAGTGTGTAGGCTGCATGTTGTCAAATAGTAGGATTGGAAAGAATGTAGAAGGAGCCAGCTATGACCAAATCATTGGTATGATCCAAGATTTAGCTTGAGAGACCAAAGAAAGTAACAAGAAGCTTTTGTTAGGATAGCCAGTATTCCAGCCAAGATTTGAGCTGAGCACCTCCCAAATATAAGTCCAGAACCATACCATTTCATCAACCTTAACTGTTTTGGTGATTTTAAAAATAGGTATTGCATTAGAAAGGTGTGTATATGTATACTTTTTGCATCTTTGTACACAGTTACACTTGAACATATGCAGTATTTTGGCAACATATTTCAACTACTCTGGTCACTTGCACATAACATTACATTTCTTTAGTGAAATAGCTGTTACTATGTTTGATATTGGCCAGTATCTATGTTAGTTTGATTTTGAAACGCAAATATATACAAAGTTAAAATTACTGTAATAAAATTGTTACGTAGGTTATTATACAATTAAAATTATTGTACACTGCACTGATCTTCATTTCATTATTAAATATTAATGTCAGTTAGCAGTTCCAAAGGTTTTCAGCTTGGTTCTCTCTTCATGTGTTCACTGATTGGTTAATGTTGCTGTTATGTGTTGGTTCATTTGATGCTGTATGCTGACTTTTCTAAGATTTATATCCAATTTGTGCATCAAGTTTATGTCATGTCCTTTTCTTCTTATTGTTTTGGAGATGATGGTTATGACAGTAGAGATTTCCAGATAACTAAATATGGTATAACGCTGTCTTAATTCTCACTCTTACTTCATGTATACAGTTTCGTTGTGCCCTGATATGGAATCTTTTCATTTTGTCCCAGCTGTACAGTCTGAAGTTTAATTGCCTTAACCCGAAAACCAATAATTTGAAATAGATATAAGACCTGGATCGAGAGCTATGCTGTATGCTTCAAAATTACCATTTCCCAATAGATGGTTTAAAAAACTGGAGAGAATTCTGAAATACACTAAAGCACAACATTTTACATGACCTGCCTGAGAAGATAGAGAAGCAAAAATTGTGACCAACAGCAGTTACATTTAAGTAGGATAATAGCTTGAATAAATAGGTAATTTTTTTTCCGTCACTGGGCCACATCATTGCCACTGACATACAAAATAACAGCTATTTTTTCACTGTGCGATACTGTCCACCTTAGACTTATGTCACACTTAATTTCACAGTATTAAAAGAATCATCTATGAAGTCAGTACCATTTATTTTACCATCACCCATTAAATGGTGGATCTTTACTTGTTGCACTTTTTTTCATCCATCTTAGATTCAGTCTTAATTTAGATATTCACTCCTGTATATAGATTAATGATCTATTTCATTAATGCAGGTTTTAATGGTGTTGGACCTTGTACAGATTGGACGACGCTGGATCCCGCAATTGTGTCCAGTTCTCGCCCGCATAACTTCCTTGCAGCAGCATCTTCAGCAAATCACCATCCACCTATGAATCCATCAACAAATCCTGGTCTTCATCTTCTGCATAATACAAGTTCGGTCCTTCAGCAGAACAAACCACCAGTGGAGCAGCAGAACACAGCCATGTCAAGTGCAAACCCACCCTCGACACCTGTAGCCATGCCACACCTCCATCAGTTGCAGCAGAATAACGTAAGCCACTGGTTGAGGTCATTGCCATCTGAAGAGGGAGGTTGTGTTTTCTACAGCTCAAATGTTCTGGGTGGCAGCTCGGCGGATTGGGCTGCCAACAGCAATCATTTGACCAATGTAAATGGACAGCAACAAAATCGTGTTTTCTACAGCTCAAACGTTCTTGGTGGTAGCACAGCGGATTGGGCTACCAACAGTAATAATTTGGGCAATGCGAATGGACAGCAGCAACAGAATCGTGTTGTTGGGTCACCAAACTCAGGTTCAGTAATGATGACAGCAGCACCACCGCCACCTGGTTTCTCTTCTATGAGACTTGCAGCCATGCAGCAGGGAACAGCCAGTGCCAACTCTGTTCAGAAGAAGCAAAGCCCTGTGTTGAGCACAGAAATGGGGAAAATTGAAAGTGAGTTAATTTTGTTATATTTCTCTGTATTTTGATACTCTTTTTAACTTTGTAATGCCCTGAAATACCATTTACAGTGAAATTACAAATACAATATTGACAGAGGTTTGAATCCCACAATATTTTCATTCTCCAGTTAGCTCCCTATATAATTGTTGTTGCTGTTGACATCGTCATCATCATCATCATCATCCAACGACATTTCCAAGACGCTGGGTCATCCTGTGTCATAACTGTTCTCTAATCTCCCATAAACTTCTGCTCTATTTCTTTCCACATTTTCCAGACTCCATTCCGTACATCACCCATGGTATCTCCGTCTTTGTTGTTGACGTTTTCCGATAGTAATAGTCCAGTATCTTTGGTTTTTATACTTTCAGAGGAACTCTGATGTTACCGATATATGTCCATATCACTGTATCCTTAATTTGACCAAATTTCCTTGTAGTCATTCAACATTTAGATTTACATTTATTTTCACTTCATAGATCCAAACATCTCCCCATAGGGCCGGATATAAAACATGTCACACATTACAGATTCATCATGACTACACATCATACATCCTTGGTCCAATAAAATATATAAAATCAGGCCTCACGCAGACAGCACAAGTTGTCAAGACAACACCCACAGGCCATGGAAAAACCACTGTTAAATTCACACCTTCCCATTCCACACACACTGGCAAGCTGTATCATCGATACATTCAGGTGTTGTCTATTTTATTGGTTTCAGATGTTGTCCCTTCATACTCATTTCTTAATATTCAATTTCTTATTTTATCTCTCATTCCTGTCTCAGTACTCCATAATAATTTCATCTTTATTGTTTGTAATCTCACTCTGCACTTTCATGCACACACACAAATTTCAGTTAAAGGTACATATGGTACAGTTTCCTGGATATGCATTTGTGACCATTTCATTGAAACCAGAAATTTAAATATAACTACTAAAATTTGAATTCTTACATTTTTAACTCCTCATATGCAACTTTTGGATTATTACTTTGTGGTCCGTGTAACTTGTGCGTGTAGCAGTAAGAATTAAAAATCATACTGAAGTGTGAACTCTGCTGGAGCTGGGAATGCAACTAGTAGAGAAAAGCAATAAATTTTAAGGCAGGTATTCAGCTGGCTGCTCAGAGATTGGTTATCATAAATATGAAGCAACTTGCAAGAGCCATTTAAATTAGTTTTTTTTTGCTAGTGGGGTGGGACTAAGTCCCTTGTACTGCGTCCACGTCTGGCCTATTGTACCAGCCCCAGATGATAGTTGAGGGTGCCTCATTTCTTATGTTTGAAAAACACCTCTTTTCTCCCTTTTTTATGAATTCTGAAAATAAAATTACTAATAAATATGCCATGAAGTTTGCCTTTCCATATTCTCTCAAAAATAATTGTGTGGTTATTAAGAGTTAGTTGATATGCTTACATTCCTATCAGAACCATCTGAAGTAATCACAATAATTATTGTAATGTTGCATGTTTTTGGTTTGGATCATAGTTCACAAAGGTCAGAAATGGATTTACATTTCATGCATTGTCTCAGATATCCATGTCGTAGGAGTAGTGCAAGTTCCCCCTTCATTGGAAACTTCAGGATTTTTTATCTCTGATAAAATTTTGATCTTAATTTCTGTGTGTCAGATATTTGGTTATATGTTCATTTTAATAAAACTTCATTGTATTGAGAGTAATGGACGAATTATTGGTGTGCTTGAAAATATGTTTCAGGAAGTCCTTCAGGTACCTTTTTTGCTTGCATGGGACATAAATTTGGCTCTTTTCTTTACTTTGCAAATGAATTTAAACTTGTCCTGTTACTTCTTTAAATTTAAATTAGGACTACATAAATACCCATATTTTCTTTATTTAAATCACAGTTTGGGCTACATGGGATCGAACCAGAAGACCACAACTAAGTCATCATTGTCTCAAAGCTCACATATTCTTGTAATTTTAACAAATACTGAATGTAACTTTATTACAAATGATAAAACAATTCAGTCCAGTGTGACTGTTGAAGCTTTTACTACTTCACTTTTTAGCACCCTGACATGTTTCAGTCCCAACAGACCATCATCAGAGGGAACATCAATACTTTTAGAAACTACTATTACATTGGGTGTTTTGATTTTTAAAATACGTAAATATACAATATTTGTAATATACACTTGATACAAAATCCAAATTTCTTACAGCTACAGCAATTGTCTTTGATGCATTAAAGTTTTTTTTTTTTTAACTTTTTGTTATTTAAGTTAAAATTCTTTAACCAAATTGGTTTGTGTCCCTTGTCCTTTGTTTTTCTTGATGGGGCCGAACTTGTGACGGACCAGAATGAAACAAATCAAATGTAACTTTGGTTCACACTTATTTCTGTCCCCTTTAGTGGGAGGAACATATCTACTCTACAACAGAAATTATATACCTTTTGTCTTACTGTCGCTCTTAGGATCATTTATCACTCCAGTTTAGACTTTCAGTGCCATTTTCTCGAAAGTGTGATTATTCAGAAATTATACATGAGGGATGTTCATAAATTAATAAGGCTACAGACAGAACTAGTTATTTTATAGAACAGAAATGACAACACAGAGAAAATGTGCTAACAACATTGGACTCTAACCTGCTTCCTATCAGTGTTATTGTCACGTGAGTAAGGGGAGGTAAAAGCATTGCACAGGCAGCTCTTTTGATCAACACCTTGGTTTCCGTCCTTCTATATCGTTGTGGAGGCTGAAACTGAGGTTAGCCGAAATCCTCAGTGAAATTTGGGAATATACTACATGGAAGACGGTTGCAGGAAGACAGTGCATGTCGTGTTCAGTGATGTATAGTGAACAAAAACAAACTGACATCAATACAACAAACTGAAATACTGCTCCAAAACAAGGAACGTTACAGTATTGACAATTTGAGTAAATATCAGAGAAAGGCAATTGTGTTTGGTTTTGCCTCTAAGAGGATAAATGGATTCAGCTAATGAAGGTGTAATGTGGCTTTTTGTTCGCTTGAAAATGTATGCAGAAACATTGCCGTGTTATGCAGGAAAGCATTAAATGAATGAGTGCAGGAATACCATCAGTACTAGGCTGATCATTTTAAGAATTCCAATTTCCAGATGTCAAAATTTGAAAAATGTATCTGCACAGACGCTTTGAATATGAGGGACAGACCATTTTAAGGCCAGAACAATCCAGATGACTTAATCCTTGATTGATATATTGACCGATAATAATGATTCAAAAAGCATATGTGAAGGAAACATGAGGCATCCTGGTGTTGCTATAAAATGCTTTCTGCAGCCAAGGAATTTATAGTGATGCTCACAGTAACCTAAGGAATGTACTTACTTCTGCTGCTTGAACTCTAGGATGATGGGTTCTGATCCCACTTGGGGTTTAGATGTATGTCTGCATTTTTGTTGTTTGCAAGTAGTCCATGAGCAGTTTCATACATTGAGTTTTTCTCATGTTGGTACATATAACATTAACACACGGAGAAGTCTTTCTGCATTTATTGATTTTCCTGTTCAAGTTAAGTTGGCATAATATACGTAAGATAAATACCGTCTTAAGTGTAACAATTTAATTTAGTTCTTTCTTCTTTCCCCTCACTCCACACTACATGTTTCGGCCCTAAATGGCCATCATCAGGTGTGTCTTCTCACGTAGCTGTTACACTGGTTGTTAAAATTTAAAATCACCAGTCTTTGTAATTGTATAAATTGTTTGTTAACCTACACACGTTAATTTTGATTTCTAATTAGCACTTTTTTTAAAACTTTAATTCAAGTTAAAATATCTTTAAAATTTCTATAAAATTTCTGTTCTTTTCCTTTTTGAAATTTTAAGATTAAAGTTTTCCTCAGGGTACATGCCCTGTGTCTAAGTGCTGCATCAGTGTAGCAGCTACGTAAGAAGACACACCTGATGATGGCCATTTANCACGTAGCTGTTACACTGGTTGTTAAAATTTAAAATCACCAGTCTTTGTAATTGTATAAATTGTTTGTTAACCTACACACGTTAATTTTGATTTCTAATTAGCACTTTTTTTAAAACTTTAATTCAAGTTAAAATATCTTTAAAATTTCTATAAAATTTCTGTTCTTTTCCTTTTTGAAATTTTAAGATTAAAGTTTTCCTCAGGGTACATGCCCTGTGTCTAAGTGCTGCATCAGTGTAGCAGCTACGTAAGAAGACACACCTGATGATGGCCATTTAGGGCCGAAACATGTAGTGTGGAGTGAGGGGAAAGAAGAAAGAACTGAATTAAATTGTTACACTTAAGACGGTATTTATCTTACATATATTGTGCGAGTGTAACAGGATGCTCAAATATAATATTGTAAGTTGGCATAATTATGGCTGGAGAGCAGTGCAGGATTACTGTGGGTTCTGCACTAGCCAGCAGAATTCCAGGAAACTCCTTTTTATACTGTAACAGATTTTAAAGCTTCTAGTTAATTTATTTCATACAATGTCACTGGCTAAGGGCACTTTTCAAAACTGACATTTCAGGCATGTTGACAAAACAGACCACAGTTGTGTCTTTCTGAATGTTATGGAGGTTAGAATATATAAAGTCATATAAAATCTTTTATACAGAATGACATTTCATAAGGTATTACTCACTCAGCCTGTGCTAGACGTGCTGGAAAACTTTTGATTGTATGTTATGGTGGTTTAGAGAATACGCATCGCAGAGTGAATTGCCTCAAAGTCACCAGGTGGTGTAGGTAGAGGCGCACCAAACTACCCTGATATGAAAATGTTCCAAGACTTTCTGTGTACAAGTCTGCATGGTTTTGCAACAGAGTCACAGTGGGAAATGCAAGTGGTACCAAAAATACTGACCTGGAGTTCAGAGATACTGAATAAATATGGCATTAGCATTGAACTTCCATGAAAGCTGAAAATTTCTGTTCGCAGACTTGTAAATGGAAACCCTAGTTTGAGGCAATGGGTTGATGTAAAGGGAGTTAGTTCTTTTGCAGTTCCATTCTCAGTACCAAAATATACTGTGTTGTGTCTCTCTAAATATTAATCTATAAAATTCCAGAATTGTTTCTTAAATGTACTGTAATTTGTCACTTGTAATATACTGAACTTAAGTGGTTCTATTCTAATGGATGTTTTTTGTTCTCTCCAGATGTATAACCTGGCTCCCATGGAAGTAAATCTGATTGCCAGCTCCTCCTAAGGGTAATATTTGGAAGTGGTATGAAAATTACAAAAGAAAAATAGTTTACCAATAATTTCATTTCCAGAAAGAAATAACAGCAGCCAGAGTACTGTTAATATATTTGATGTATCAAATATCAGTTTATATTTCTTAATATTTTTAAGCAGAAGGAAAATAAGGAAGAAGAGACTGAGCTAGTAAATTGATTGAGTTTGCAGTATGTTTTCAAAAGATATATTGATTAAAACTACAACTATTCTTTTGCAGAATCAGTTAATTTATGATTGTGGTTCAATGAACTTGAGATTTGCCGGGATAAAGTAACAGGAAAATAAGGAGACAGTGAACTTTGAGGTTAGAGAGATTAAATTGACCAATAGTAATATATGTATGTACATACACATACATATACATAAGTTATAAAATATTTAAAAAAGATCTGTACTTTTCATGGAACCAGCTGATTTTGTAATTGTGGTTCAGTGAATATAAAATTTTGTCTGTAGTAACAGAAATATCAAAGAGACAGCGAATGTGAAACAGAAGAGATGAATCTACAAATATTAATATCATGTAAGTTATTTTTGCTTGTTTTGTCATGTGACAGATTATGCATGGGGGTATTAGTCCAGTAAAGCCTACAGTTTAACTTGTTTGCCATATGTGTCTGTGGCATGGCTTTTTGGGAAATGCTCAGTTTAATTATCAGAATTGTATTAGAATTTTGAGTGGTTTGGATATTAAAAGAGAACTAAATACAGGATACAGTGAAAATGCAATCAATGAACTGGTGTTCTTTTCTGGTATAAAGCTTTATTAGGTATATAAAGTATGACAGATTAAGGAGAATACTTGAGGAGAGAGAAAATCAGTTCTGCAGTTTTTTATCTGTAGTTGGAGCAGTTAATCCAGTTCTTGTTCAAAAATATTTGAGAGGAAATGTGATGACACATGAGCTCATACCATAGCTTAGGAAGAGGGATGATAGTGGACAGAGAAAGGGAGGTCAGGAAAGACAGCAACTCACCTCTAAAACTAAATGTCTCATGTCATTTGAACAGGAGAAGGGTGTGGGACTATAGTTAGTGCCTCGTAACTTTAGCCACACGGAAAGGTAAACGCTGTTGTGGAGCATGCGAAGCTGTACGCTTGCTGTGGTGATGTTCAGAGCTACTCCCCGAGCAGAAAACATTGCCTACGGAGACCAGGAGTAGATACGCAACGTACTATACACCTGACCACACTCCAAGATGCTACATTCCAAACTGACAGTAATCACTCTGACATAAGCTGATAAGACTGCTCCCACAGCCCCGCGAGAGATGGTATGACCCCTCTACCATGGCTAGAGTTCCGAGGAACTAACAGTAGTTTAGCTGCTCACACTATGGTGGAGTTCACTATAACCAGACTTATTTAGTAGACATTAAAAAATCATTGGTTGATTTGTTAAAAATACTTCCTTCAGTGTTTTATTCCTGTCATCTAATATGCAGTTCTGTTTACTGAATGGTGCTGGTTTTTACATTAATTAAGCTTAAAAGTGAAATATTTTTGTTATCCTTATTTTGCAAGTTGTCAAGATGTAAATTATATTACATTATTTGAAATGACCTGTGGAAAACTGTGTAGTGAACTTTGTGATTTTTTTTTTCCTTATGTGGCGCAAATAACATTTCTTTTTAAATCATGGCTGCCCTGTTATGTTACACATGTGAATAACTGAATATGTTAAGTGGAATTTAAAAACTCTGAAGTGTTGAAGATAAGGTCCATATGAGATTTACGAAAATGAAATGCGCTCTCCTTCCTGTAAACTACATGTTTTCAATTTGCCCCATTAATATTTCTCTGAAGAGATTACGAAAAAGGAAGTAAAATGGTTTTCCCTATGTAAGAAAACGAAAATAAATGCAAACTTAAAGGCGGTATATGGCGTATTTTTTTCCTACAAACCCTGCTTATCCTTCTGTGTATTTTTAATAAACATTCTCATTTCACTGTCAGCTCAGTGGAACATCAGTGTATAATTGGCAGAGGTCTGCTGTTGGGAGTGGGTTTTGGGAGATGTTTCTATGGTCTGTACAGTGCTTGTTAAGAAGAAAAAGGGGTAACTTTGTCACTGTGCTTAATTGATGAAGCACCTTGTCATGAAGACTTGAGAGGTAGTGGAGGTATAGCTCCACCATTCTCCACTTCAGCAGTAAATAGAGGTGAGCAGTCAGCTTCACACCTCGGCCAGGGAAATCTCTCGTGGTACCCATTAGATAGGAAGTCGAGTGGGCCCCAGAGGCAGTATGGATGTTGTGAATTAAAGAAAAATCTTGCCCCTGCCAGAATTCGTACCGTGTCTGTCCTGCCCTTGGTCCATCACTATATTGACAGCTGCTTCGACTCCAAAAAGAAAATGAGTCTGAGTTTCATCATTAAAGTAAAAATAAAAATAAAGGTATCCCTTTAACAGGCTGTGGAAACCCATAGGGTTGTGACATGTTGAGGCTCCCACAGTTTCTTGAAAATCGGCTCGCAGATGGCGGTGAGGTCAGCCTTACGCACTGGCCATCCTTTAGCCCCAGGAATATTTCTGGTACTCATTTCTCTTAGAGGCTGAGTCAACCCCAGGGCCATAGTGCAACTGGAAGGATTAGGTAAATTGAAAAAAATCCACCTCATCGGTATTCGATCCTGTGACCTCCCAGCTTGTAGCATAGTGCCACAACCGACTATGCCACCATGCGCATCATTGCTTAAATGAATAGGGCCAGTAATCCATGTCACAGTTCCAAATGTAGTAATGCTGTGTAGCCTATCAGGATAAACATTGATAACTGTTTTCTATAAACAGCCTTGAAAAATGATACCATCTGTATAGAATGAATGACCTTGTATGGGATGATCACAGGTTACTGTTTGGCAATAGTCTTATGTCAGTGATGATGGTATTTAAAGAGTACATCATACAATGCTATTCTCCAAAATTTTTCATGAGATGTAGAGAAAAACATGACATTTTGGGCTCCAAAATATTGTAGCTGTGACTTGTCAGCGTATTATGAGAGTGTGGCTGGGGTAATTACCACTCTCTTCCTATAGGCAGGACATGTTTGCATATAAATCTGTAAAGGGTACCTTAGAGCATACAAGCAGAACCCATTATGAAGGTCATGAAACCGAAGTGAACTGTGTTGATTGTTGGCTGCAATATTTGTTCTGACACTGCATCCAAGTAAGTTAAAAGTCTTGTGCTTAACTAATTAAGCACTATGCCATGAAGGCATATGGGGGAGTGGTCAACTTCACGCCCCTGTCATTTTACCCCTGTGGAAAGAGCCCCTGGTACCCATTTGAAAGGAGGTTTGATAGACCCCAGAGCCAGTCTGGACGATTTGGAGAAGAGAAAATTCTTGCCCCCACTAGGACTCGAACTCTGACCCCTAAGTCGTCCTGTCCATAGCCCTGCACTATCCCAGCTCCTCTGCACCCAAGTGTATGGGTTAAATTCCAACAACTTCCTGGTTGAGGGTGTATGCATGCATGTATGCATGTTGCACATCTAGAAACACAAGAACTGATATGGAAGCTTCATATAACATAATCATATTTCAATTACCATTATTAAATAAGGAAACATGCTGCCTAGGTGAAGACTGATGTAGTGACTAATGGATCAACTAAATTCCCCACTTCATCGTCCTACATGTAGCTTGAATAATTCGGCTGTTAATATAAAATTGTCATTCAATATTGATGTTAGCAATAGTAGTATCAGACTCCTCTGTCAAAGCTACTGTTAAAAAGATGATTATTATTCAATTGGTCATGTAATTTCCTGAATTTTTATGAAACTTGAAGATATGGTACTCTTCATAAAAAAAAACTCATGCCCAATATCTTTCAAGCCCCACTTTAATATTAATTATGCTTACCTTTCTGAAGTGGTCTTTTTGACACATCATTTTTCACAACATACTACTGGATGCTACTAGAAGGCAGGCCATACCCTCACACCCAACCTCTTTGAAGAACCAGTTTAATAATGCATGCATAATTCTCTCAAGTAATCATTTCCTGCAAGGTTTTCTGACCAAGCTTCATATGCATATCACATTCTCCCCATGTGCAATACATGTGTGAAACATCTCATCTTTCTTGTATTCGTGAACTGCATCATGAAGTAAACCTGTACTGATTTACTTGCACGGGATATCTTTGTAGCCTTGTTTTGTATAAAAATTGCAGGGGTTGTAAATTGACTAAGTAAAAAGAAAATGTAAAGCTATCCCTGTAACAGGCCGTGAAGGCCCATAGGGTTGTGAGATGTCGAGATTCCCAGGAAGATTCTTGGTACTCATTTCTCTTAGAGGCTAAGTCGACCCCAGGGCCATAGTATGGTTGTAAGGATTAGGTAAACTGAAAAAAATTCCACTTCGTTACTCGAACCCACGACCTTCCAGCTTGTAGCAGAGTTCCTCAACCAACTGCGCCACCGCGTGCCCCATGTGACTAAAGTATAATTGTTAAAACATTCCTGAAGGCTATATCAGCCTTTGAAAAATAACTCGATGTGAAAGAGTTAAATTACAGGCCCTATCCTGTGTCTACACAACTTTGTATATTGTGTCATATCATGTAATTGACTAATATTCATTTGAATAAGATGCTAGGTATGGTTCATATGTATAATTATTCAGTTTTCCAATAATATTATGAGATTTACTCCCTGTAGATGGGTGGATAATAATAAAATGGTTCTTAGAGAGAGAGGATGAGATGGTGTAGATTGGATTGATCTGACTCGGATAGGGACCAGTTGAGGGCTCTTATGAACACGGTAATGAGCCTTCGGGTTTTTTAAAATGCTGGGAACATCTTGTAGCTTCAGAATTGATGGCTCAAGAAGGGCTCAGCTCCATGTATAAGTACTCTTTTCAGTAAGTGCTGTAGACATGAACATTAAAGTAAAGTGCAAGTATCAGAGTAGAGTTTCCAGATGCATTTCAAATACTCACTCAATACATTTCTTCTGATTACATGAGTATATTTTAATTTCGTAGGTTGAATAATATTTATTTAAAATTCCAGCTAATATAATATATTGCAACAAGACAAAGAGAGTTATTACATTCCAGACAAAGAAGGCGGGATGTTCTCTAGTGAACGATTAAACTCTTATACAATGAACGAATTCTCTAAGTTTTCCTACTTGATCTGAATTAAGATAAACAGATTGCATATCAAGTTATCACAATTGAATTGTTTAAATTTGATTTGGTTCATCCTGATCCATCACTCTAGCAATATTATAAAAGGTTATCAACTCCATTCAGTGTGACTGATGAATTGGTTCTAAATTTTAACAAAATCATTTTAAACCACACTTGTAAACAAACTAATTATAATAATCTACAAATATATTAATATATTGTCGCGTGTTGGGTAGGTGACGCGGCAAATAACTACACGCCGTTCTGGATCTAGCGAACTTATTGCACATTCTCTCTTACATTTACACAATTTACAATCTCACAACTACTGCCATCGGCAGTATCACAGTTACACGTACTTTTCCTGCTTCTATTCTATTCTATGCTGCTAGCCTTTGTCAGTGCAGCCTTTCTTGGGTCGAAGTCCCTTGGGACTTGCGACCATATTTTACTGTCTCAGATTTGAGACTTCCCTTTTCGTCGCCTCCTACGACTCGCAGGGTCACGGTGGGGGTATTCGTGGTAACTCGTTCCACCTCCCGTTGCCCAGGAACGGTTAGAGATGTCACAATATTCATGCAAATCACTGTAGTTTTTAAAGGATCACATTATGTATTCATGACATTGTGATGATATTGTATATATGTATTGATATTGACCAATTATATTGTAATAATAGTTTTTCCGCCTGTATTGATATTTCCTTTTGAAGATGGTCTCTCAGACGGAAACATGACAAGAATGAAAGATTAAAAACAAAATTATCAGTCACAATGGACAGAGTTAATAACCTTTTATAATGAATTTTTTACTTTCATCTGTTTTCCAGATGATGCCACATCCATAAAATATGATTTAAAATAGTCGCCGTGAAGGTTGTGCTTGAGGTCATTTTAATTTCATAACAAAAGATATCAAAGGAGTCGGGATAGCTCAGTCAGTTCCCAACAGGGGCGTGAAATGTTGCTCTTCTACACAGCATCTAGACCGGCTGTCAGGCTCATCCACCCTCCTGTACAGTGGGCACCGGAGTTCTTTACCTGGAGGTAAAACGACCGGGGCGTGAAGCTGACAACTCACCTGCATCTATTGCTGAGGTCAAGAATGGTGGAGCTATACCTCCATCCTCACATTCGTCTTCATGGCGTGGTGCTTAACAGATTAAGCACAGGGACAAATTTACCTTTACCAAAGAAGACAAATCAGATTAATACATTCGTATTTTTTTCTTGCTCAGTTTTAATCAAAGTAAAATAAAGAAGTTTTGTGTGAAAAACGAACACAGGTCTTCTTGATAAAGGAGTTTTCCTAGCTACTGAGCCACATAGGAGTCACACATGTGAACATTATACCAATATTTTGCAATATGAAGGCATTTCAAATAATTATTTAATCACCGAAGTAGAAGAATGGACAGTGGTTTTAAAAATTGCAGTTAGCATTGTTGCCACGCTGTCCAATGGCTCTTTATTTGAAACAATTCACATTCTGATAAGCCCCCATCTCACATTTCTTGTATATGGGGTCCACCAAAGACTCCTATCCAATCTATATTGGGGGTATTATCTCCTGGGGTAAAGCCTAGAGCACTGTGAAACTGACCACTCACCTCCATCTACTGCTGAGGTCAAGAATGGTGGAACTATACCTCCAATCCCTCAAATGTCTTTATGGCATAATGCTTAACTAATGAAGCAGAGGAAGAACCATTTAACTTGCAACTACATCTGACACATTTCAGTGTTGAAAATAATAATAGACTTTGGTGTTCTGTTTACATGACAGCTAGATATTTATTGAATTAAACAGATTTATTACATGATTTACGTCGAACAAAATGGTGTCTGTATGTCCATCTTGTACTGCTCCCGTTAAAGTGTCATCATTATTTGAATCACATTTTACATTGAACAAAATGGTGTCTGTATGTCCATCTTGTACTGCTCCCGTTAAAGTGTCATCATTATTTGAATCACATTTTACATTGAACAAAATGGTGTCTGTATGTCCATCTTGTACTGCTCCCGTTAAAGTGTCATCATTATTTGAATCACATTTTACATTGAACAAAATGGTGTCTGTATGTCCATCTTGTACTGCTCCCGTTAAAGTGTCATCATTATTTGAATCACATTTTACATTGAACAAAATGGTGTCTGTATGTCCATCTTGTACTGCTCCCGTTAAAGTGTCATCATTATTTGAATCACATTTTCCACTAAGTACCAGTGTAACCGAATCACCAGAAACAATTCTGTTTTCTTTAAAACTATAATCTGATTTAAAACGTCTCTTCCTTCTCTGAAACATAGCTTCTGAAGTGTTGCTCTTATGTTCCGCATCACCAGAAACAATTCTGTTTTCTTTAAAACTATAATCTGATTTAAAACGTCTCTTCCTTCTCTGAAACATAGCTTCTGAAGTGTTGCTCTTATGTTCCGCATCACAGTCATTGTTAAAATTCTTTGCGCTTACAGCAACATGAGCTTTGGAGTTAGGGTGGGCTGTCTTGGATAGGATCAGAGCTCGAAGACTAGTGACTGCGCCTCTGGCCCAACCGGAAGCAGCAGCCTTATGCTCTGGTTTCCAAGGTTTACTCTTTTGGACATACGCAGCTGCTTCATCGGGCTGAGAACACTTCTGCGTGCGAATCTCCAAGATTTTAAAACGCAAGTCCTGCTGGTTTTTGTTCTTCATAGCGCGGGTTGATGTAGTCGCCCATTTTCTGTGTAGCTGTGCTTTTCCCATGTCAGATATTTTGGGCGGTACACAGGGGTTTTTGAGATGAGACAAGATTTTAAAACGCAAGTCCTGCTGGTTTTTGTTCTTCTTAGAGTAGGTTGATGTAGTTTCCCATTTTCTGTGTCGCTGTGCTTTTCCCATGTCAGATATTCTGGGCGGCACACAGGGGTTTTTGAGATGAGAGAAGCATCCTTGTTTGTCACCGCCACGAGGCCGGTTCTCCCAACGACATGGAATTTTCTTATGGTATGTTACCGGTACCCGATGTCGGAGATCAAAATGTTGGTTCACACTTTCTCCTGGCTTCCAGAAGTAGTTCTTGTGACGGCCATAACCTTTCCTGGGTGTGTCCATACTCCTATTTCCAGGTTCCACCTAAAAAAACAAATAAATATGTAGGATAAGAAATTGTGAATTAGTAATAAAATATCGCTATTCAGGGAACAAAAATTCAAATTAGAAATTTCGTGACTTTGGTACATTATTAAAAATACATTTTTTTAAATTCGCTTAGTGGAGGGTGGTGTTCAACTGGGTCCACTCGGCACGGCGGCCACTGATTGGCCTATTGTAGCCTGCCCCAGGTGATTATTATAATGGAGAATTTGGTGAAATGAATATTGGCAGGGGAAACAGAAGTACTGGGAGAAAACCCACCACGGTGCCACTTTGTTCACCACAAATCCCTCTTGACCAGACCCGGGATCGAACCCAGGCCTCCGCGGTGGAAAGGCAGCCACTAACTGCTTGAGCTCTGGCGCGGCCTCTCTGGTACAATAACATAATTATTAACCTTTCTGACATTATCCATTCGACGATGAATTTACAGCAACGAATAGGAGACTCGACTCTGCCTACATCCTGAGATAATTGTTTTTTTTTTTATTTAAAGCGGGGTTAAGGAGACTGGACTCTTCCTCCGCCCTCCTCCCGCAGATTTAATTTGGTTTATATTCCACGCCTTGTGTTTGTTCTGGTAGCCAGAAATATGGACTAAATTTAGGACTGTCTATTTGGCCAATCTATGTAGGCTTCTTGCCTGAGCACGGTGGCAGATGCCATTCTCCGAAAAGTTGTCTTAAATAAGAAACACTGTGATGGATAGTGTCCAAAAAGTCTACAATCGTGGTAAAATGAAAGTTCATAAATATAATTAAATAAATCAAATGTGATGGCATAAGTACCATCTCACTTCCGACACCAAATATGTCACGTGTAGGGTGGTACGCGTGACGAAATGACGGGTTCTAGTTTGGATGTTTGGATCTGTTAACAATTTGGTTGCACACTATCTCTTAATTACTTTTAAATACAGCGCTCTCACTGATTTACACACATTCAACTTCACCGTTGCACACGCACTAGGATTATCTGTCTTGCCCTTGTCGTCTCCTCGCAACGGATCTCCACACAAAAAGTCTCATTTTCCGTCTGTCCGTCTGTCCGTCCGTCCGTCCGTCCATCCGTCCATCCATCCATCGACATATTGTGTTTTTCATGTGCAGAACTGGATTTGGAGTTAGAAAAGACACGTATCGAACTAAGAGCAATTCAACAGTTTAATAAGGCAAAAGTTACTGAAGATATACGGGAAGAGTTTGGTCAGGTTATACATAACTGTTCTAAGTGCCTGGAACTTGGAAACAAATTACAACATACGCTCTCTGAGTTAAAATCATTGCAATTAGTAAATAAACTCTTGTTTAAGGAGTTAGAAGAGATTTCCACTAAATTTGAGGTTATGACTGGTAAAACGCTGAATGAGAAATCAGACAAATCACAAAATGATTGGAGTCATATTGAATTTAAAACATACAGAATACTAGAAGGAACAGTGAACTAAAAGGATCAGATACAGCATACCTTCCTCTCGCTACAAATAACAAATAGGATATTCTATCAAATTTGATAGACCATACAACAAGCGAAGAAGATGCCTCATCCAGCCTCAAGGAAACCTACTCTGAACCAAAGTTGGAAGTAACAAATCTTGTTACGTGTGATAAAGAACCAATCCTAATTTCTGGTAACAATACAAAAGGGAAACAAATACCTGTAATAGTAAATGGTGAAATAGAAACTAACAAATATGACAATTTAATACCAGTTCCAAGTTTCCTTCATAATAGCTTAAACAAAATAAATAACACCAATTATAAGGAATTGAAGAATGAAGGGAAAGAAAATAATAATCATAATATTATAATACTAGGTGATAGTCACTCAAAGGGAATTGCAACTAAGATTGATGATTACCTAGGAAATAAATTTCAGGTTCATGGTATAGTGAAGCCAGGTGCAGGTATAGCTGACATAATAACCCAATCTAGTAGAAAGTATAAGAACCTAACAAAAAAGGACGTAATTGTGATACAGGGTGGATCAAATGATATATATAGTAATAATGCAGAGGCTGCATTAATGCAGATCATGAAGTTCTGTAAGAATTTAAATAATACTAACATAATAGTGACAGACATTCCATCCAGATATGACCTAGTAAAGAATTCCACTGTGAACAAGGGAATTCAGGTCTTTAATCGAAAACTGAGGAAGGTTACCAAGCAACTTAAACATGTAACAATATCAGAGCCTAGATTAAGCAGAGAAATGTTCACACAACATGGGCTACATCTAAATAGGTCAGGAAAGTATTTAATAGCCAAACAAAGAGCAAGGGAAATCTACTGATTAACAGAGGAAAAACTATCAATGTAATTAGCCTGAAATGGAAACTAAGAGACAAGGGTGAACTTAGCAACAATAAATACTTCATACACAGGTTATGACAATATCAAAGAACAGCAAAATCATCCTACTAGTAGTACTGAAACATATAATGAGCATAAGGTTACACTAACACGAAGATACCCTACTAGATCTAGAAAGCTGCATACATCAGAGAGGGGTGGTTTTTTATGAGAGACCTACACCTAAACTTAATTAATAATGATGGTAATAATAACACTACTAAGCTGTTAAATAATACTAACGCTAGTCTAAGAGAAGTTCAGTATACAAATAAATTATACTCTACAAATAATAAATGTAACAGTAAAAAGAATGAAGACATTAAGGACTTATTTATGATTTTTCACCAAAATACTAGGGGTCTAAAAGGTAAAACTGAAGAACTTATGATTTCCTTACATAATCAACTACCAAATGTAATCTGTTTATCTGAGCATCATATGACTGACCATGAAATTGATGCTGTGCATATTCCAATGTACAAACTAGGTGCTAAATTTTGTAGAAAAAAAAAAAAAATGGCGGTGTATGTATGTATATATATCCAACAAGATCTAAAATTTGTGAATATAAATTTACAAAAATATTGTAAGGAATGAGATTTGGAAATTGCATCCATTCAAACAAGAATAAACAAACATAAGATAATGATCTGTAGTATTTATAGAGCCCCATCTGGTAATTTTGATATATTTCTTAATAAACTTGATTCTATATTGAACTCTTTTTTCAGTCATAATCTAGAATTCATAATATGTGGTGATATAAACAAAAACTACATGAAAACTAGAAATCAATGAACCCAATTAGAGGACATGTTAAATGCTTATAATCTCAGGGATACAGTAAATTTTCCTACAAGAATCACTAATAACTCAGCTACCTTGATTGACAACATTTTCATTGACAATAGGAGTTACGATATAAAACCATGCATAAATGGACTATCAGATCGTGATGCCCAACTCATCATACTTAATAACATCTCGGTATCTAATAAGACTCCTAAGATTAACTATACTAGAAACATTAATAACATCACTATAATGGATTTTCAATATTTACTAAGTCTCGAATCTTGGGAAAATATTTTTAGTAATAATGATGTTAACATCATGTTTCATAATTTTCACAATACCTATCTAAGATGTTTCCATGCTTGCTTCTCAAAAATACGAACTAGACACAATATTAACCATAATAAATGGATCACTACGGGTATAAGAAAATCATATAAGAGAAAGAGAGAACTTTTCTTATTGAGACAGTAATGATATTAATCTCAAAATTTATTTTAAACAATACTGTAATATACTAACCAGTGAGTATGCCAAGGACCCTGAGAGCTATATCAGCGGTAGCATAGCTACTGACAGGGCCTCCCTTGCTGGACAGGTCAAAGGGTAGGCATCAGAGGAAGAGAGACAACAAAAACTGATGCTGGAAGCAGCGTCATCAGCAGCGTCTTGAAGCACAGAGCAAATGATGCTCAAGATGGTTCAAGTTCGTATAGCAACAGGCGTGACCATAGTGGTTTGAACGGCTGCTGTACTGCGATGTGGAAAGCAAATGGAAAAACTACCACATTATCACTTTTCCTGGATAGTCTCTTTCCAAAAACAGAGATACCATGTATGCGAGATGTTTCCTCTGGAGACAAAACAATCTGGAGGTAAACTACACCCCCAATCGGATCTCCGGGAGGGCGTTTCTAGAGGAAATGTCATGCAGGTGTTACAACAAGAAAAAGTGTGAAGATCAGAAGGAACATCATAGCTACAAGCTTGGAACATGGAATGTAAGGACCTTGAATCAAGCAGGCAAGTTGGAGAATTTGAAAACGGAAATGCAGAAGAATGAGGTGTCTGTTCTAGGCGTCAGCGAAGTGCGGTGGAAAGGACAAGGTGAAGTAAGAAGTGTTGATTATACAGTGTATTATTTGAAAGGTGAACAGGCTGAAAGAGGTGTGGCAATAGTGGTGCATAAAAGTGTAGTGAGGAGTGTTGTTAAGAAGATTGCTTGTAATGACAGAATTATTGCTCTGAAGTTAAAGGCAGAACCGGGAGATATACTGCTTATGCAAGTGTACATGCCAACATCAGAGTATGAAGATGATGAAGTGGAAAAAGTGTATGACACAATTGAAGAAATTCTTCAAGATGGAAGAGGTGACACAAACAGCATCATATTGGGAGACTGGAACAGCATTGTTGGAGATGAACCATATCAGAATGTTGTTGGATCACATGGACTAGGAAGACGGAATCACAGGGGTCAAATGCTTATTGATTTTTGTGAACGAAATGGACCGAATGTCACCAACACTTGGTTCAAGAAGCCAAAGAGAAGAATTTACACATGGAAGGCACCTGGGGACTGGAAAAGGCATCAGCTGGACTACATCATTGTGAAACTTCGATTCAGAAACAGTGTGAAGGATGTGAAGACGCTGCCTGGGGCAGATATTGACTCTGACCACAACTTACTGGTTGCCAAGTTATGAACAGGTTGAAGAAAATTATAAGATTTCAAAAGCGCAGACCCAGATGGGATTTGGAGAAGTTATATGCTCAAAGACAAAGTGTGCAGGAGACCCTAGAAGAGAAACTCAGTGCAACTGAAGGTGAAAGCAGAAATGCTGAAGCGCAGTGGAACAATACAAAAGAATGCATGTTAGATACTATCAGTGATTTGGTTGGTAAAGTTGAGAAGATAGCAAGAAAACCATGGGTTACACAGGAGATTATGAGTAAAATGGAGGGGTGAAGGAAATAGAAGAATGTCAACAATGAAGAAGACAGGAGGAAATACAGGAGACAGGAATGAATTGAAAAGAGCCACGGACAGGGCCAAAAAGGAATATCTTGAGAAGATATGTAATGAGATTATAGAATTTCAAAGAACAGGACATTATCATTTGATGTACATGAAGACAAAAGAACTAGGATGGAAAGAGAATCATGGGATTCAAAATATTGGCATCGAAGACTACCAGGGGAATAGAATAGTAGATCAGAGGCAAGTGCTGAAAATTTGGGAAAATTATAGTACAGAACTATATGCTCGACCTAATCGGCCAGAAACCTTGGAAGTTGAACCGGAAGAAGAAGTAGATACAGACGAGAAAGGACCATATATGTATTCAAGGCTAATCACTCATATTGAAGCCAACAGTACCTTGGCCCTCAAACAATATGGATTTAGGACACATTCATCTATGGAGAAGGCAGCATTTTCATTGATTAACAGTATCTCCACAGCTATGAATAATAAGCAAATTGTGGGAGGCATTTTTTGCGACCTACAAAAGGCCTTTGATTGTGTAAACCATGGATGCTATTGGATAAACTTGAATTTTATGGAGTACATGGTATTTTTAAAACACCAATGAATCTTATTTGACTGACAGACAACAAAGAGTTGCTCTGGGCCTTACAACTGATAGTGATAATTCATCTAGATGGAAGAAAGTAAAACATGGAGTACCACAGGGCTCGATTCTTGGTCCTCTGCTTTTCTTGCTGTACATAAATGATCTTCCCAAAACGATAAATACAGGTAATAGCATGGTATTATATGCAGATGATACTAGTATCGTAATAACAGAACCCAATAAATTAAGCTATAAAATAAATCTTAACCAAACTTTTAAAGATATAAACACCTGGTTTAAGGCTAATTTACTTAAACTAAATTTCAATAAAACTCAATATATGGAGTTTAGAACCACGAAACGCTACGATACAGAGACCTACATCAGTTATGAACAGAAAAGTATTCCAAGTGCAACAGTAACTAAGTTCCTTGGTTTAACTATTGATGATGTTTTATCTTGGCAACAGCATATAAATCTGATGATCAATAGACTAACTTCTACATGTTATGCGCTGCGCAACATTAAATATGTAGTAACCTTTCCAACACTAAGGCTAATCTACTTTGCCTATGTTCACTTTATCATGAGTTACGGAATAATTTTCTGGGGTAACTCCTCTCATGCCAAGAAAGTGTTTCTCTTACAAAAGAAAATCATTAGAATCATAACAAACACTAAACCTAGGGATTCTTGTAGGAATATCTTTAAACAATTGGAAATATTGACATTATATTCACTATATATATATTCAGTACTTCTCTTCATAATAAATAACAAACATATATTCAATTCCAATAATGAGATTCACGAATATGTAACTTGAACCCATGATGACTTACATGTTCCTGCTGTGAAAACAGCAAAATTTAATAATGGAACATACATAACAGGCATCAAAGTGTACAATCACCTCCCTCAGTCAATAAAGACCTTAGCCAATAATGTTAAAAGTTTTAAATCTACACTGAAGAGGTTCTTATGTCAACATTCTTTTTACTCAATGAATGAATATTATCAGTATACTGAAGACAAGAATGTATAGTCCATCTGCTATTTAAATGTTTAATTTAATTTCCATCCTGTATAAGAATTATTTTTAACAACTAATACTAAATACAAGGTATTAATAATAATATTTTACGTTTGTACCTATGGAATTTTTATTACATACTAATTCTTCACTTTTATGAATTGTATATTTTAGACTGCTATCGAATTGTACATATTATGATTTAGTTTTCACAACATGATTGTGACAATGATAACTGATAAATATTTACCTGCATTAATTATTGCAGTACATATAGTAATCTGACATATTCTACATCCTAGCCACATTGTGACCAGAGAGGATTCATGGAATTTTAAAATGAATAAATGAATGAATGAATCTACCTACCTGCCTACCTACCTACCTATCCATCTATCTACCTACCTACCTGTCTATCTATCCATCTATCTACCTACCTACCTGTCTATCTATCCATCTGCCTGCCTACCTACCTACCTACCTACCCACCCATCTATCTACCTACCTACCTACCTATCTATCTATCTGTCTATCTAATCTATCTATCCATCCATCCATCCATCCATGACTCTGCAGTTTTTTGTTGGACCTTGGCCACTTTTTCAGTTTCTTAATCCTGTACACAGTCGGTAGGAGTCCTTGGGCGTGGGATCAGCCCGTCGCAAGGCCACTACCTACACACAGAACAACACAAACACGTAATAAAGGCAAACAGATATCCATGCCTTGAGCGGGATTCGAACCCACATTTTCAGCGTTCGAGGGAACAAGGACAGTTCATGCTCCAAACGGCACAGCCACTGTGATCGGGTTCACGGTGGAATACTGGACTCCTATTGCTCTTAATTACCAATAATTATAATAAGCTTGTTGTTCTTCGCAATCTTCCTCAATTATTTACAGAGCTTTCCGAGTCTGGAGTCAGTATAGCAATGGGCTATTGTTAGAATGGTTCGATTCCTGGCAAGGGCAAAAGATTTTTCTCCCTACCACAGCTTCCACACCAGCTCTGGGACCCATATCCAATAGTTACTGGGGGCTCATTCTGTTGGGTTAAAGATGACCAAGCATCTCTGTCTAGTGTCGTGTTCAAAATGGTGGAGATACATCTCCATTCCCTCATACTTCTTCATGGCGTGGTGCTTAATTAATTAATTATTTTATTAATCAATCACAGAAGAAACTTACCTCTCTTTTTTGCTTTCCAAATCTCTCCAGTCTCTCCATTCTGCTACGCTTGGAATTGCTTGTTACTTATTTATCCTCCACTCGCGACCGCCCTCGACCGTGTCAACCACCCTTCTGAGCTCGACTGTTGTGATCGCTGTGATGTAATAGCACAGGTGGGCACAGGTTGACGCAGGTGGACCACGCTGCTGTTACACGTATAACCTGTGGAGGGGGGGACAACAGGCGAAACTTGTTACGTAACATTGCATAATCGCATCGTGTATTGCCCGACTGATGACGCAGTCTTAAAATTCATGTCACAATGTTTTGGCGTATAGACCGGTTAACTCCATAAACAGCATCCGTTGCTAGGTTACGCTCGCAACATACACGCACTCAATAACAGATGAACGGTGATATTTTGCGTGGTTCTCGACTGTACAGCAATAGAGGGACTGCGTTTTCTGCGAGGCTTTTTCTGTTGCCGAAGCAGAAAAACGTGTCGTCAGGATGTAATGAAGCACACTGTTTTCATTTCAGCCTTCCATAAAGATTGTTTGACATCTGAAATTTTCATGGATATTCGTAGATCGTTTGTATCATTTTAATTTTATAGTAGGGGAAAAAGTAAACTTCTTCTATGGGTATTCGAAACTCTTCCTTTGTAGTCGTAATCGGTCGTCAGATCTTGATTTTACTCTGAAAAGCAGCATGACTTTTGCTGTGTAGATATTATGACTTAAAATAGATGTAGGCCAACTTTATACGAGAGCAAGTGTGGTTTAGTGGTCAGCGTTGTTCGGTTTTACATTAGTTGGATTCTGTTCGAATCCCGAGTGTGTAAATTGTGCTAGCATTTTTATTGCATGTTTGTTTAGAGTTCATGGGTTTTATTGTATATTTTTATATTTTTATGCATTTAAACTTGTTTTCAAGGAACGAATGTACCGATTGGTAGTGGATATTTAATCCTCATTCCCTTTGAGGAATTAGAACGGTTTCTTTGTTTTAGTTTTTGTAACGCGGCCAAAATTAAGTTACCGAACACTTAACGGTTTTATTACCTGCCATTCGTCATTAGAAGCTGTTGGATATCAGAATTCTGGTTAGAAAAATGAGAAACTTCCATAAATTTAAACTTCGTTTTCACGTAAAGAATGTCTTGCTCGAATATCCTTAGCCGCAAATGAAATATGTATTACGGTGAATAGGTTCAACAGTTACTTCTTTAACGTTAAGCTTCTGACTACTTTGCTTAGTGTGTGCTTACAGTATTCTGTTACAGTTATTGTTATTACAAAATCGTGCTTCTACGGAGTCTAATATCTTATATTTTTGTCCCATATCTGTCCTATCTGTCCATATCTGTCCTCTTTTCGGCCCCTTTCCATATTTTTAAAAAAGAGGAGTAAGCTTAAGGGATCGCTTTGCTGTTTATGTGTGTGTCTGTGTCTGTATATTAATTGCCATTGATAATTCTCCATTACCGGCGTTCATGAAACTTGGCGTACATATCTATGAATCCTGATGCCATCACAATTGAGCGCCTCAAAAACTCTCTCATTAGTAACGCCAGCACTGAAGCCTCTAAGATCGTTGAGGCAATAATCTTAATATGACTTGAATGCGTGGACCGATTGTCATGAAATCTGGCCCTGGGGAAAATTTCCAGATGGAATGGGTACCGATGCTCTTTCCCCTGGAGTTAAGCGGCCGGTAAGCGGCTTCCGTAGTCTAGAGGTAACGTTCCCACCTCATGACTCGTGGTACGTGGGTTCAAACCCGGCGGAGGTCGTGGAATATAAGCTTTCTTCATATGTCGGTGAACATAGCCTCCTTCTAAGGCCCTGATATTCTCGTGATTTTCCTCAGAATTGCCAATATAAGCTTTCTTCATATGCCGGTGAACATAGCCTCCTTCTAAGACCCTGATATTCTCGTGATTTTCCTCAGAATTGCCAATATAAGCTTTCTTCATATGCCGGTGAACATAGCCTCCTTCTAAGACCCTGATATTCTCGTGATTTTCCTCAGAAAGGATTGTCAATATAAGCTTTCTTCATATGGCGGTGAACATAGCCTCCATCTAAGGCCCTGATATTCTCGTGATTTTCCTCAGAATTGCCAATATGAAGTTTCATGTATTGTCAGCTGTAAAATAATTTCATTGTAGTTGTATATTTAGGTTACAACTTTTCATCGACATGCCTTTATGTTTCCGGATATCTAACTTTATAGATATGTATTCTATTGGAAGAAATAAGAGTTTTATACTTTCACATACAAGTATTTTACTCTATTATGTTATGTTTAAGTTACATTACTGTTATGATTATTTGGGTACTGAACAAACGTAATGATTCACCTAACAATACGACATTCCCCCAGAAGTCTAGAGCAGTGTTGCGCAACGTTTTTCTACTCGCGGCACACCATGAAGTATCCAGGACTCAACACGGCACACCAAAATGTTATTCCCCTCAAAAACGCATGATAACAGACAATTAATATAAATACGTAACGTGATCAACTTATTACTATAATATTATTATATTGTTATTTTATTATCATTAAACAAAAATCGACTAGTGCATTTATTAACAATAATGAACTTTAATTCACTGTAGAATGTAGAAAATACACTTCTATTACTATTAAAGTAAATACAGTAATTCTACTCATGCCCTCAATGTGATACTTGCGCCTGCGTAGCTGCATCCGTGGTGGAATCATTGACAACGCAAGTCTCATTTCTTCATCGATGGATATGAGCCGCTCCCTCTTTGATGTCTTAATTTCAGTTAACGTCGAGAAGCCCAGTTCACACAAATATGTAGTTGAAAATGGCAATAACACATTAACTGCCATCTCGGAGATAGCCGGGTATCCACTCCTTATTGCCAACCAAAACGTATCCAAAGGCACTTCGAGAAGTTTTAGTTTCAATGTTCTGTCTGCTTTTAAATCTGTGAGTTCCTCTTGTATATTAATTGGAAGATGTTCTGAATTCACAACAAATGCTATAAGCTGGAAGGTCGCAGGATTGAATCCTGTTGAGGTGGATTTTTTCAGTTAACCTAATTCTTCCAGCCACGCAATGGCCCTGGGGTTGACTCAGCCTCTAACAGAATTGAGTACCAGGAATACTTTGGAATATTCTTGGGGGTAAAGGGCGGCCGGCGCGTAAGGCTGACAACCTTATCGACATCTACAAGCCGATCGTCTAGAAAATATGGGCACTTCAACATCTCATAAACTCATGGGCCTCCACGCCCTGTTACAGGGATACCTTTACTTTTAATTTTTACTTTTTACAGAGCTTTCTCTGCCACTTTTTTCTTTACAAATCGACAGTAAGCCTCCCGTGTACTGTAATCATTCAGTAGGGAAATCCTGTAGGGAAACTGCAGTCATATGTCTGCAGTGCTTAAACATGCTACCTCTTGTACTTGTGCTTGTACTTACTATAGCAGATTTGCTATACAGTTATTTATAGTGTGGCTGCATACGTTGTTGAATCTGTTGTGTTTTCAAATGTGTTGTGTTGTACTCTGACATAACCCCATACCCTTCTTCTAGTGCTGGTGTGATACAGAGATCTATCTATCTGTCTGTCTTATTGGTAAAAATGATTTTCAAAAACTGGGACTCAACTCATTGTCAGCTCATTGTAAACCTGATTGGCTATGTGAGGAGATCTGATGTTTTTGAGGACCCAAACAAAATTCTTTCACAGCAGTTTGTGTTCACTAGCTTGAGCTTCAGAATTAATCATGGAGAGACAACAGAATGTTATGGGGATACAAGGAAAGCATTAGAATTTAAGAGGTGTTTCATGTTGTGGCAAAATAGCATGTAGGGGATACTTTTTAATAGTTACGTGGGCTCATAATTGAATTGGCTTTAATTGTATGTTTCTAAATTTGAATTTTCTTTCTGACACCATGTATTCCAACCTAATGTCAGTGATGGAGGTTAGTTCTTTATAATCAATGCAACATTGCCGTTTTTTTTACAATGTGGGATGACGGGAAAGTGTAAAAACACAATAATTCTGTGGAATAGTAGAGAATTTGAAGGCAACTATGCTAATTCAGAAAACTTAGTCATAGAAATTATGTAACAGAAACCAATGAGCCATCTTCAATTTAATCTTCTGAGTAGCTTTACTGTAACCAACCAACCTCTCAACAAGGGCTGCAGAATTTCCTACCAAAATTTTGTATGCGCCTCTGTTATGTGCCCTACCCATCTCACCCACTTTCTCTCTTGTAGTTCCCAATATTCTCTTCAGCATCCCATTATCAATCACCCCAAAGTCTTCTCTTTACCTCTTTCTTGCTGTATTGAAAAAGGACCCGCCACTAGAATTTTTTTTAAATGTGGTTTATGGGAATATTTAATTTAAGAATGATCTGATATTAAATGGGATAAGTAGTAGCAAAATGCATATTATGGAAACGTGGCTGATATTATGAACTGTAACTGTAGGGAATAAAATGGCTCAGTACCATTCTGTACAGCCGCTTGTACACTTACCCTCCGAGGCAGAACAACATGACAAAACTAACTGTTGTTTCTCACCCAAAACACACCCAGCATGGCCACCACTAAAGAGGTATGGAGGCCAGCAATCACCTTCATGCTTCAGCTGATTTAACTCTGTGGGCAAAGCACCCCAGTGTACCAATGCTGGTCATAATGCCTGACTGAACTATGCTACCAATTTGGCAATGATCGTGGCCATAACACGAAGTATCACAATGACAATATGAACTTGACTGTGCTTCCACCTTCCTTATCAGCCTGCTATCATGACTAGAGATCTTTCAGGCTTTCCTTAATTGCTCTTGGGAACTACTGGATCATTTCTTTAAATTAGGTCATGACCACTGCCTGTGTAATTCCCCAGTCACAGTCATCCTGCCATTTAACACAAACCTATGCATTTGAAACAACGCTGCTAGATAAACCAAATCCATCTGTGAAATGCAGTTCATCACCATTAACGAGGCAGACAAAAAGCCAAGAATATTAAACAAAATTACCACCACAAGAATAGTAATCAGTTAACACTCCCTGGCACCCACTGTTCATTTTGCTTAAGAAACAGACCACCAAATTAGCAAACCCTCTTTTTATAAAGACTGTCATGGATTCATATCCTCAGCCACTTGAACCCAATTCAATACTGTCACATGTTTGGAATCCAGAAGGGTTACTTCCATGGAAACGCTAGAACAGACCGTTGCATAGGAAGTAACAATAGCAGTATTGTAATTCTAACAGCGAGCTGTTGCCTAGAGAACGGCAAATCTCCCCGGAGATGAGTCTCCATGGTTATAACGAGGGTTTATTGCATACCAACGGCCGAGGTTATAAAAAAGTTTGAAAGCATTTGCCAAGTCAGTTGTAACCTAGACGCCATACGATATAGAAAAAGCCAGCAAGAAGTCAGTATTGGGATCATTGGGATAGCCGTCGCCGAAGACGGTTGAGACCCAGCCAAGGCAAAGGACAGTATAAGCACTGAAGTAGACAGAAATCAAGCGATACTGAGAGTAATAATAATTGTAAGGTAAGAGTGAGTGACCAATAAATATTCGCTAAATCCGAGACCCACGTAAAGTTATTTGTCGCGTGACATACCCAACACGTGACAATATTATACTTTCAAGTGAGGTATTGCTTTCAGGTTTTCCAGACTAAGTTTTGTGCGCTTATCGTCTTTCCACCATTTAACATAATGACATACACAACCTATCCAAGTCAACAGAAACAAACTGCGAAATATAATGAAGCTTAGCGAAAGCAGTGCACCCCTGGGTTCAACTTGCATAAATCATAAAACATAATGATAGAATTTACGAGTCCATGAATCCCTCTCCTTCGATAGGTCTGTGACCCCAGTCACCTGGACAGCTACGTTACTAGGGGCATAAGGTCTTGGTTGGGCTATGGACAACAACCTCACCTCGGAAATCAATGTGTGTTAAATAACGTCATGATCGTCATGATGGAAATTGGGTGGAAAACTTAAAGACTAAGGGAAGGTTATTACGCCAATGAGTCATCTTGCTACTTGGATTGCGCTCAGTTCACAAGCAGTCAATGAAAACCGGAATTACACAAATAGTGTTAGAGTTGCAGCAAATCAAAAGACTGGTTGGAATATGAGTGAAACAGCGGCAATAATGAATTTTTCCGCCCTTACAAGAACACGACCGGTACAACGGTTCATTTTTAATTCGCGAAATCACAAAGAACAGCCATTGTGGAAAATACACCTGCCATCTCTGGGTGGAATTGAGGAACTTGATTGTAACGTAACGCAATTGGTGGCGATTGGTGGTAGTGCGATGTATAGTCATGTAGATGATGTAGATCGTAGATTATATTAGATCGCAATGGAGTTTGCGACGATAGAAGTTAAGGAATTTAATATTGTGATTTGTGGTGTATATTTTGTCCAACAATGGATCGTGTGAAATATATGTTATTGATATAGATACACAGTTTATATGATCTTAATATTTTTATGGCATGTGTAGTTTCTGTAGGGTTACAAAAAATGAATTAATAGTATTAATGAGAGGCTTGACGATTTTGACAACTTAGTTAATTTGACGTGGAAAAAAGCTCCCGTGTAATAAACTTTCACAGTTAGTGATTATTTGTGCACTGCAAGTTTGTATGTACATCGTTCATCGGAATTTGTGTTGTGTCACCTTACAGTTCAAGATTGCTCATCGAAATGGAGAAGTTTGCTGTAGATCTGGATAAAGTTTTGGACGAATTTGAGTTCAGTGAAGGTTAGTTCCAACAAAATGAAGATTTTAAGTTACTTATTTTTGTAGGGTTGTTGTATCTCTAAAGTGTGTAAATATTGAACAAAGTGTAATTTTTCTTTGCCTTCGTAGTCCTCATAGGAATGGAGGGAGGTAATTTATGTCAGCACATATATGAAACAAAGAAGCCAGACATACGCTCATCATCGTAATTGAGTGTTAATAATTCGTTTCAGTTCGTTATTACGTGATATCAGTTTCGTACAGGATTCAGAAAGCCATCAGATTGAATCAATATAATGACATAGTGCTGTAACGAAACCGAAGGTTTGAAATTTGGAAATAACTTTAGTAAATTGTTTTTATTGTGCATATGTTTTAAGTAAATAACATGAAATTCATTTCCCTTAATATACGTGGAAGCTATCTGAGACTTTACCACAAATCGTTCAGCTGGTCTCACAAGAGGACCGCACCACTTGTGTCATCTTGCACCACATGCGTTGAAATCTGTGGCATAATCAACAGACCAATTGCCTGTACACATCACATTTTCTCTCAAGTATTTCCCCAACAAATATTTGATCAGCTGCTGTGACGAAAATTATGTATTATATGCCTGTCAACTGTAATTTAAAACTCCTACTGTTTTATTAAACATTCAGCATTACTTCTTGTATCAATGACATATGAAACTTAATACATTGAAAGTAGTGTTCATGTGTGATACTCATGTGAGAATTAAAAGAGAAAATTCAGGCATAAATTTCAGGATGTTATCATTCCAAAAAGAAAAATATTTTTATACAGCCTTAAATAAAGCATCATTTGGGGACCAAAAAGAAATAAAAAGCTGAATGCTCACTGAGGATAAAGTGAATAAAGTCAGTGATAGACTTGAATATTCCTCACAGAATTACTGGGTTTTTGGACCTTTTCCATTGTCCAGTATTCTAGAAAATAGAAAACATGACATTTTGGAAACTGGATCCGTTTCTGTCCTCACGCGAGGGGGGGCAAGACACCTACTGAGTTGGAGCCCTTAGAAAGAGCTAATCTCAGTCACTGAGTAGATATCTTCCCCCCTCACCTGAGGATGGAAACAAATCCAGCTTCTGAAGTGTCATGTTTTCTATCTTCTACAATACAAGATGATGGAAAAAGTGTTATACACCATTGTCAGAACCCTTTTGAATCTACTTGGAATATTCCTCTAAGAAATCTCTTAAGATACCATGCACAGGAGACCAAGGTTTTAAATGTCAGGTTTTGAATTTACTGTTTTTGAAAGGGAACTTAAGTGCGTGCATGATTGTCAACACAATGAATGTGTGCATAACAATAGGAGTTATTTCTTGCTTGTGCTATGATCTGGGAGGGTTTTGTTTGTGATTTCTTGGCTTTTGGGTTTGTCAGTTGTGCTGCAGGTCTGAATGCATGGAAGTAGCATGTGTCCCTCCCTTCAGATTGACTGTTAGGTTTACAGCATGTTCTCGAATAACCTTGTAGTTTAGTAATATATTCTAACCACATACTTTGCAGCAACAGCCTTTCCACCCTGAAGAACAAGGCATCAAAGGGCTCATTAATTGAATTTTCTGTATAGTTTAGTTTATAGTTATAATATAACTTAAAATATGTGTTTTATATGTTAAACAGACTGTGCAGAACAAATGGCAACGACATTAACTAAGAGATCCAGTACAGCCACCCCTCCTGTTGGAGTAAGTAAGATCTCTTTTATAGTGATAATACAAATAAACATGTTACAGTTGTTGGCAAGCGCCAGCAAAATTCAGTTGATGGACTGACAAGATTGATGTCAAAAAGATTAGAGTTAAAATCATACGTGCATAAAGTCTTTTAACTGGAAAAATGTATCCATCAATGACTGGTGTCCTATATCTAGGACAATGAATTCTTTACTTTTGATTTATGGTTCTCTGTGTACATTGTCAAAATAAATGTAATATTTTTTTGACACAGATGAATGTTTTACCATATTATTGCCTAGTAATGTGTCTGTGATATTAGGCGATTCAAGGGCTCTGAAGTTCCTAGATCTGAGTCATTCTGTCACAATACATATCACTGTGGAGAGTTAATTAATGCATGGCAATTAATGCCTAGTGCCTTGAATTTTGTGTCTTGAGGACCGTTCTTCCTGATTCACTAATTTTGTTTCTAGTTTCCATATTTTTTATGATTGTTCTTATTCGAAATGGAATTTGAATTCATTTTTCTTCTGAAATACTGATTTATTTATGCATTCTCTAGAAAAATAAAACTTGAGGTAACATGCAACAGCACTTATTTGCAGCAGTAATTAATCTCTAAAAGTCAGCACAGTGATTTGATAGTGTGTGGAAGCAAATGATTATAAAGACCTAATGACACCAAAACACCTTGTTTGTTCACAAAAACAGGTTAAAGTTTATAAAACCTGATTTGCTTCGTATGTAAATTCTGGAAATTTCAGTACCCTGTGATAACAAAATCTCGCTCGTTATATCACAAGACCGACACATTAAGGAGTTTACCTATTCTCTGTCTATCTGTTGCCCCAGATGGGTGACCAAAGAGCAAATAAGTCAACATCTTTTGCATTCAGTATAAACTAGAATATTCTTTGTAGCCCACAAGTATAACTAAGCCTTGTTGCTGAGAATTACCCTTCACATGTGTATGTTCAGTTCTGTGCCGGTGCTGGTAAGGTTCTTCCTTTCCAGAACCTTTACTAATATTTCCCACAGTAAAAGAAACACAATATAGAATATTCAAGGAAATATAATGGAAATTAATATTAAACACACTGTCCTACCAACCAACCATAAAGTGATATGTAATGGGTTAATGGCACAAGGAACATCTGCATTAGTTTTAGTCAATTACAGAATGAATGTGGAGGTGCTGAAATGTACTGGTATTTTGAAATGCTCTTTCAAGACTCAATTAAAGTTGCAATGTTGTAGTTTTCAAAAGAGCCAAAACTGCCTGTACTAGAATGTAATATACATGTATTGTATTTAAAATATGAAATTAATTCATACGCATTTTTTCCTCAATTTTTTGAATACCATTCATTTCACCTTCCACAAGGATTTTTAATTTTGTATTGACACTATAATTTTCTGGGGCATGTGGTAGCGTAGTTGGTTGAAGGCGCTATGCTACAAGTCGGGAGGTCGCAGGTTCAAGTCCTTATGAGGTCATTGGATTTTTTTCAATTGACCTAATCCTTCCAGCTGCACTATGGCCCTGGGATGGACTCAGCCTGTAACAGAAATGAGTACCAGGAATTAATTAAATAATTTTCTTGGGGAGTAAAGCGTGGCCGGCGCGTAAGGCTGACAGCCTTACCGCCATCTTTGAGCTGATTGTCTAGATAATGTGGGACCTTCACCGTCTCACAACCCTATGGGCCTTCACGGCCTGTTACAGGGATGGCTTTAACTTATCATTTGAAAGATGTTAGTTTTAACTACTATTGTAAGACCCAGTGCTTTTGCAATACATCATTTTGCAGTGCGAACAATAGTGTGCTTGGGCTGTGTTTTACAGTGGTGCCAATGGATAATGTTAAAATTCTCTGTGTGTACACCCATTGCATTTCAGTGATCATAGATTGACAAGATAGCACTTAGTGCAGAACCTTTTATTTACATACTGAATGTTTTTAGAATTGACTTGGCTCATCCTGGTCCTTCACACTAGCAATAGTATAAAATGATTCACTGCACTGTTCAGTGTGACTGATTAATAAGTGAAAGCAGTGGTGTGGGAGGGGTGGGGGAAGGGAGCTGGATACTTGCCCTTCCCCCCTTCCCTCTCTGCTCTCTAGGAATATTTCCACAGTCTGCTTTACCGTTTCTCACGGTGTTGTCGCTTGCAGATTTCTTATACTTTTTCTTCTACCCTGAAGATGGGGGTGATACGCTCCTCCGAAACGTCGGTTAACACCACATATACACGGTGCCAAATCCCAGAAGACTGCTTTCTTCATAGTCACCGCCGTGAAAGCCTCAAATCTTACATTTTATTAATCACATTGGACGGTGCTGTGAATCATTTGGTTCATGTTGATTTTACTGATTGTATATATTTTTGGTAATCATGGTTTTGTGTGTGTAGGGACCTGTTCTCTACCAACCTTCATTATCATGTTACCACAGACCAGCATTTGAAGCACTAAACCTAGCTGATGCAGACTTCGCAGCAGACCCCCAGACTTCCACACCTCGGTATAGTAATGTGTTCTCTTCTGCAACAAATTCCTCTTCTGGACCACCCACTGATGATGGAAATTGCTACTTATCACATTCAGAAAGTCTAAATAGGGCTAATGAAATCAGAGTAAGAAATGATACCAGAATGGATGTAAACTGGCCTCAGAACTTGGCATCCACATTTCATAATCATAATAGGATTGAAGTGAATGTATCAGAACACAGCAATATTCATCCAACACAAAATACAAATTACCCTGGTGAAGTTCATGTCATCAGCAATAGGGATCACACAGACTTTCAGTGGCAACATGATGCAGTTCATAACAGATCAGATACATTGACAGCAAACAAACTGAATGTTAGCGGTGTATTCTCAAGCCTTAATGAGTATCTGAATGCTGGAAAGACTGAGGCAAAGTTTAGTGATGTCAATGTTATCAACAACCAGACATCTTGGAATCCAGGCAGACATAGAGTCGCCGAGACAGAGGAGAATGGTAATGCCATTAATCATATTGGTACTTCATCAGTTGTGGGCACAAAAGGAAATTATCAACATGGTCCTGCTGTGTTGTATCCTTCAGTTGAAACTGATGCAAATAGACAAGTAAAAAATTTAGGTGGACAAAATATCATCAATGATTTGCAGGAGAATAATCACAATAAAGAATTCAGGCTAACAAATGATCAATGGGAAAGTACCATTGATGTTTGTAAAAGAAATGAATGCAGTACCCAAAGCACTGTCGCTGATTTGATTCCTGTTGCTTGTCCAAAGTCTGTACAAGAAGAGGCAAACATTTCAGGGCAGTTAGTTATTGGTGGTCATGCTTCATCAGATGAAACACCAGACTTGCTGGATACAGCGATCGATTCAAATAAATGTGGTGGATTCAATACTGCCAGTTTTCCAGACCCTCAGACTGAGAATGGTTTGCATTTCAGTATCATTAACAATGACATTTCAACAGCTCAGTTCTTGAATGTGGCAACTGGTGAATCAGACCTTCAGACTATTTCCAGAGATAAACACTCTAATGTCACTTTACTGCCAGATGTTGCAACATCAGGAAGAAATTTACTGAAAAGTTCAAGCATTGTTGTCAGTGCATCAAGTGATCTTGTCTCTAGCCATGGTTTCAGAATGATAGGCAGTGAAGAGCAGTCCAGCTTTAACAACACATCACTAGATCTTGTCAGTCATAAAACAGAAACAAATAAAAATTTGGTAACTTCACCTTTGCTAGACTCAAATGAAGATGTTTCAACAGAAGAGGTATTGAAATGTGATACATTTAGACCTTCTGTCTCTTCAGATAGTAATGTTGGAGACAGTAAAGAAATAAGTGTAGATATATCACAACTGCATAAAAATGGGGATTTGGTTTCTACTGAAAGTGTTACTACTCAGTTTCATAATGCTTCCATTTCAAATTTAATAGAATCAAAATCAAGTTTGTCTTCTAACATTTTGCTGAACGAGGGTAATTCTTGTGTAAAAGGAAGAAAAGATATACATGATATACCAAGAAAATGTGTACCTGTTGGTTTCAGTGCAGTGGAGACATTGACTGATGCAGAATTACATCAGTATTTGCAAGAACTGGAGAACGATGATTCAGAAAGTTGTCAGAATGATATGGTGGGAAGTGATACAAAGCCTGGAATAGGATTGTCTTCAGAATGTCAAGATTTGTCAGTTTCAGAGCGTGAAATATATAGCAATAAAGAATTCCTTGTGAAAAACTACAAAGCTGAAAGCGGAGAAGGTGATGAAAATTCTAAGTCCCTGACGAGCAGCAGCACAGAAATTATAGGAACAGTAAATGGAACAGACGTTGAAGGGGATTTGCCTGATGAGTTTAACGAAAGAAAATCTTCAAAAATTTGTTCCAATGCTGGTACGAAGATGCTGAAGTGTCCTATTTCTGATGAGAGTTCAGTAGCTCTTCAGCATGGCAGTTCAGCAAATTATTCACTGGATGAACAGTCAACAGATAGCACTGTAGAAACTCTTTCCTCTCTTGTGGATAGACATACAGCAGATATAATAAGTACAGACCCTGGTTTGACGTCAGTAAAGAAACCAACAGTTCCTATACAGTCTGCTATATCTAGTACAGTGAAAGTTGACACTGCCCCTAAACCCATCTCAGCCACAGATGTACCTCCAAGTGAGGAACCTGTAGTTTCTGATTCAAATTTGCAGTCCGTATTAACCGTGCCAAATGCAACGACAGTTACTTCCACAACCTCTTCAGTTATTACAAATGTAGTTTCCATTGCCTGTCAGAAGATCACGGAGAGCGGTAAACAAAATGGGTCTGCAAATGATGGAGATTTAACAGATGATTCCGAATTATCCAGGAGGGTGGATGATGCAAGAGAAGACATTGAAAATAAATTACGAATTGGAACTCCAGACTTAATAGCAACTGAAATACAATCACCAAATAGCCAGGATTTTATTCTTGGTGGAGAAAGAATAGAAAATGGAATGTTGCCTCTGAATGACTCCACATCTATGCTGGGTAAGTTATCAAGAGAACAGGAAATTAATTATGACTTGGCTGAAAATGGACCATATACCCCTGAAATAATTTTATCATCAAATGAAGCAAGGTCTTTTGAAAAAGCACCAAATGAATTCGTACAAGTTTCAGAAAATGGTATGCTTGAGTCATCCATTGTAGATGGCATATCTGAAAAGAGGATTTCACATAAACATTCAGATAAAATAGATGAGTCAAGCGCTGTTGACATGGGTGTGTCTGACATTGGCTTCTCAGAAGTGCGGAGCTGCCTTGTTCAAATGCCAAGAGATGGCACCACAGTCAATGTTTTAGGAGAAGAGGAGCGCCCATCAAGACCCAAATATTTGTTTCTTCCATCAAAGATAACTGTTGAGAATGAGCAGGAGAATTCTGAGAATTCTGAGGAATCACCACCAATATCAGGAGCTGTTGGTAAGTTTGATTCTGAATTGTGTTATACTGTATAATAGTCACACTGTTGTTTTCAAGGTGTGGCCATGTGTTTCGTATTCAGATAGGTCTTGAAATCAGTACATGTTTATTGTTATGAAAGTATTTACATGTTCACATTTATTCCAAAAGTGGTGTGAATTCAACTGTTTTGTAAGGAAGAAAATGGCTGCCTGCCATTAAATCATACACTTTTCATAGTACATTGTATGACATGTGTGGGAGGCACACAGTATTCTTCGATCATTATGATAGAGGCTATATGTTCTCCAAAACTTGTCCATGATGTGAATTTTTGCTAACCATCTTACAGTGCACACAATCTCACCTTTCTCTTCACTTTTACACTACATGTTTTGGCACTAATATGCCATCTTCAGGTGTGTCTCTATCCACATCAAACTACTGCACTGCATGCCATGACATCTCCATCATAAAGTGACTAAAATGCGTATTCGTCATGTATAACAACAATTCTAAAGACTAAAACCTTTCAGGATTCGTCATCCATATGTCGTATCTCAAATACGTGAGTCACGCCAATCCTCCTCTATGGGAGCACTCTTCCTACATTCATGTGTATATTGTGCTCTGTGTTGTGTCTTGCTCCTGTGACTGCGCAAAGAGAAAGGTGAAATTGTGTGCACTCTAAGACGGTTAGCAAAAATACACATCATGGACATGAATCAGTGCAACAGGATGCTAAAATATAACATTATCCCCAAAACTTGGTTGACTTTCAGTAGACTACATAACATTGTATTCCAGAAGATAGAGCTCTTCATGCATTTGTTGACTTGGCATGGAATGACTCTTAAGGTGTGGACTTGATTTATCTGGTGTAGAATTAACTTTTTTAAGATCTGCACTATGGAGGTAGCCATGTAATAATGTGCCTAACTCATGGATGTGGGGGAGGGGAAAGGAGCTCTCTCATGACTGCATTTTGAAATGTATTTTTCTGGGCATTGTTCCTCTTTTCCCTTTAAATATCCTTCCAGGACCTGGTAGCATTCATTTTTAAAGAGAAGCTGAGAGGTTAATTCAAAACTTTCCTCATTTAAAAATAGGCCCACCAGGAGAGACACCATTGGCTGAAACAGAAGCAGAATATTCAGAGGCTGCAGACAGCATTCCTCTCTCTTCTCCTGACATATCTGAGTCTTCATCTATTGAACAGGCCATGTCACCTGTCCCCTCCCTGCAGATAGCCACACCCATGTCAGACGATGTGTCAGACATACTATCTCCAGAAGAGCGAAGTCTTGGCAAGCTTCATCCTTTCTGGGTACCTGATGCAGATGCACCAAATTGTATGCAATGTGAAATCAAATTCACCGTTCTGAAGAGGAGGCATCACTGCAGGGCATGCGGGAAGGTTAGTTCACACTTGTGCATTTTGTGCTAAGTATTTGGTTATTAAATTAATATTATGTAAGATTTGAGGCTTTCACGGCAGTGACTATGAAGAAAACAGTCTTCTGGGATTTGGCTCCGTGTATATGTGGTGTTAACCGACGTTTCGGAGGAACGTATCGCCTCTATCTTCAGGGTAGAAGAAAAAATATAAGAAATCTGCAAGCGAAGAGACCGTGAGAACCGGTATACTGGTTTGGGATTTGGGACCGTGTATATGTGGTGTTAACCGACGTTTCGGAGGAACGTATCGCCTCTATCTTCAGGGTAGAAGAAAAAATATAAGAAATCTGCAAGTGAAGAGACCGTGAGAACCGGTATACTGGTTCCAGAAGACTGCTTTCTTCAAATTAATATTACTCTTTCAAATTTGTGTTGTGTTTTGGTAGTTGACTGAAATTAGACTGGTCTTGATAAAGTCACAGTTCATTTCATAGGGTTATTGAAGTAGTTTATTAGGTTTATGTTTTTTTTCCCTTAGCTTTACTTTGTCATTCAGTGAGTATTGTCTCTTGATGTAATAACACACTGTAATGCATTGAGTAAAAGGTCAACAAAAATTATAATTGGTACGTAGTGATTAAGAGCTCTTCAGATTTGTCTTCATATCTGAATTCCATTACCCTTGCCATGATTCAGCAGCCAGTTTTCATAACTAGGCTGTAGGCTGGCTGACCAAGTTATCAGGGTTGAATTCCTGGCTGGAGCAGGAGATCTTTTTCTCCCCTCTGCAGCACCAAGAATGGCACTGGGCCCAGCTGACCTATCTAGTGAATGCTTCTACCATTGGTTAACGTTAAACTATCACTGCCACTGAGGGGGGGTGTGTTAGGCCTCACAAACATAATTTCAACAAATGTGTGGAAAGCATCAACCAGCAGTACTTGAAATGTTACAGTTTTATTTTTATGCACAGTATCTTGGAAGAGACAAGAAGAATAAATGTTTGAGTCCAGCAAAGTAATGCCAAAAGATCTTGTTTGGACTTGACCTTTGACCATTACTTGCCTGGACACAGGTATATATTCTTGTCTCTTTTCTTACTTACTTACTTACTTACTTACTTACTTATGGAGCTGAGCCCTTCTTGAGGAGAAGCCAAATCTGCAGCTACTCAAGAATTTTCCAGCATTTTATGGAACCCAAAGGTTCATTACTGTGTTCACAAGAGCCTTCCACTGGTCCATATCCTGAGCCAGAGCAATCCAATCCATACCATCCCATCCTCTCTCTCTAAGGTCCATATTAATATTGTCCACCCACCTATGCCTTGGTCTTCCCAGTGGTCTCTTTCTTTCTGACTTTCCCACCAATATCCTATATGCATTCCTCATCTCCCCCATTTGTGCTACATGCCGTGCCCACCACATTCTCCTTTACTTGATCATTCTAATTATACTTGGAGAAGAGTACAAGTTATGAAGCTCCTCATTATGCAGTTTTCTCCAACCTCCTGTCACCTCATCTCTCTTCAGTCCAAATATTCTCCTTAACACCCTGTTCTCAGACACCCTCAGTCTGTGTTCCTCCATTAATGTCAGAGACCAAGTTTCACACCCATACAGAACCACAGGCAAAATTATAGTTTTGTATATTCTAAATTTTATATTTTCTTACTACACAAAAATTAAAATTTAACATTTTGAGTAAAACTGGTTGATGTTTGATGCTTTTCTCCATATCTGTTCAAATTATCTCTTAAATTTCTGGGTGTATAATAATGATCCCAGAGCATGTTTCATTATCTGTAGAAAGAACCAGATTATCTTGAATGACCTAGACATCACTGACTCTGTATTTATGAGACATGTGTTACAAGAGGTAGACCATGTAGGGAGCAGTATTTGCAACATAAAGAAAACTTTCCTACCTTAATGGACTACCTCTGTGGTCTAGGGTCAGGGTTCCTGGCTACAGATCCAGGGGTCTGGAATGGGGTCTACTTAGCCTCATGAGGATAATTGAGGAGCTACTTGAATGAAAAAGTAGCAGCTTCGATGTAGAAAACTGAAATTAACAGCTGTGGGGATTTGTTACGCTGACCACGCGACACTCTCTATGCACTAAAGTTGGCACTAACTTCGCCGACAGGTGGCAGCCGCTCGGTATAATTTGCCTGTGAACTAAAACCACAGAGTTTTTTTTTCCTACCTTAATGTCAGTTCACATTAACATCATATACTTTGTTGTCACAGGTGTAAATGTCTGAGTTGTACTGTTATGACCATTACATTTAGACAAAATAGTCCAAAAATTTGGGGTATGTTAATGTAAGTATGGTTTTTGCTAGGTGTTGTGTTTTAATGTGATGACACTCATAAATAATCTTTACAAGCCAACTTTAAACCTATTATTCAGTTAACCACGTTTCTGTAACAGCCTTCATCATTATTCTGATTCAGATGTTAACTCTTGGATTACACAGAAATTGCATGCACGGAGATTCATTTAATGCACAAGGAAAATTTGTATTACAGGTTCTTTGCTCCAAGTGCTGCAGCCTGAAGTCTCGTTTGGAATACCTGGACAATTCCGAGGCACGGGTCTGCCATCCTTGTTATAGTATTCTTGCCAAAGGTATGTGACACTTATTGATGTATATGGATCATAAAATGATGGCATTTAATAAGAATGCAGAAGTGGCCACTTCCTCCTAGGGGCACATGGTAGCGTAGTTGGTTGAAGCGCTATGCTACAAGCCGGAAGGTTGTGGGATTGAATTCCGATGAGGTGGATTTTTTCAATTTACTAACAGAAATGAGTACCAGGAATATTCTTGGCGGTTAAAGGGCAGCAGGCGCGTAAGCCTGACAACCTTACCACCATCTATGAGCTGGTTGTCTAGAAAATGCGGGAACCTTAACATCTCACAACCCTATGGGCCTCCACAGCCTCTTACAGGGATACCTTTATTTACTTACTTACTTACTTACTTACTTACTTACTTACCACTTCTTCCTTGTAAAGGGTTGTATTTTTATGAAGTATGTATTTGTAGTTTTCATAAAAATGCCTGTTTAATGCAAGTGCCAGACCATTTACAAGGCTTGTTAGAGATGTTGCAGAAGAACAAATCAGCTGCCCTGTAGAGTTCCTGAATAGCCTTAAACCATTGTATATGGCCCCACGTAAGTTGATTTTGAAGGTTAGTACTGTAATAATACTGCTGAGAAACCTGAATACCTTTCAAATGGAGCTAGATTGATTAATGAAGCACTGTATCAGAATGTTGATCTGATTTTCAGTACTCACAGAGAAGAGGAGTAATAATTCATTGTATTTTGATGTACACATCTGGAGTTGAACTGCCAATTGCTTATTGGAGACTATAATTTGTAGTAAGGTTAAATCAACAAATTACAGGGATAGATATTTGAAAGAGATTGCAGTTTTATTCATGGACAGTTGTAAGTGGCTTTCACAAGAAAGGAAAACATTAAGAGAATTAAACATTTTTGAGTTCAGGGTATCCAAGAGATAGGTAAAAGAAGAACTCGGTTTATGAAGAATATTATTTAAGGACGTGTCCTTGAGTGAGATGGAAGGTGAGTCACTGCATAATTAAAAACAGCATACAGTGCCAATACTACACTGAATTCACATTTTTGGTGTAGGCTTTTTGTATACAGTAAGTTCTGTCTACATTATAAAGCACAAGACATAGTTAATCATTTAATAAGATAATATTTTTTATTTGCAAATTCTTCATATAACCTGTTTTCTTGGATTGACACCATGAAATAATAAATTTGACTTGAATATGTATGACTTAAACTCGCATACATTTGTGTTTTGTTTACACTCTGCAAGTTTAGTTGTTATCAGTTAGGGTCAGTCTGAAACTAAAAGAATCATTGTGCGTTGGAAACATAAGCAAGATACGTATCTATGATCTGTGCAAACAATTTTTTTTTCTCAGGCTGCAAAACTAAAATGTATTTTGTCGTTTAGTCTTCCTGGTAGAGCAAGGTGAGAGTGCCTTAGGCTCACCATCATCTTTGAATGAAGGAGTAGCAGACACCAGCAGTATACCCCTGGGTAGACAACCAAACCCAAACAACCCTATGGAGTACTGTTCTACCATTCCTCCACTGGAGCAGGCTGCAAGTGTTCTGCGGCAGCCACCACCCAGTGTACTGGTGCCTGTTGGGGTTCTCAAACGAGAGGGTGAGTTTGTTGCTTAATAAATACTTTTTCTAATATAGTACAGTTTCTTCATTCAGACTCAGTGTACAGTGGGGAGTAAAGTGGTTTGAGAATTCATATTGTGATCTTCTGAGTTGTGGCTGGTGGGTATCAGCATGCCATGTAAACATACCACCTACATCTTCAGGGTAAACCTGGGAGTTTAGGCAGTTTGTTGATCCAAAACTGTGTTTTATTATTTAACAGTGCTGTCAGTATCAGGTCTATATAGTTTTAATGATGGAATGTTTAACAAATATGGAGTAGTTGGTGGAATGAGAATTGGCAGGGGAAATCAAAGTACTCTGAGAAAACCTGCCCTTGTGCCACTTTGCCCACCATACATCCCATGTGACCTGACCAGGGATCAGACCTGGGCCATTGTGGTGGGAAGCCGGCAGCTAAGAGCTAAGCTCAGGCATGGCTCTGGAAGTATTGGTACCCACCTACCAGATTGCATGATACCATAACCCAGAAGACCACAATATCAGTCTTGACTGTTGTCAAAGCCTCTAATCTTATGTGCTTGAAGAATTGTTAATCAGCTGAAGACTTCTTTCTAATCAACTATTAAATTGCAAGGTGTTTTGATAATTGTACTTCATCTTGTTTGGAAACTGCCTGACACAACTATTCCCCATGTGCACTCACTGCATGTGTTACCACCATCCCTGGTCAGTCTGCTTCACCACTGATTTTATAGGGTGAAGGTTACCAGTCTGCTTGTGGTATATATCTCTCAGAATTAATACTCTCTGATTATAACACAGGGCCTGTAATTCTTTTTGCACTTAGGGTATGCCCAACACCAATTTTTAAATCATGGACTGGAATTCTGTGTACAAGATGTAGATTTCCTGTGCTCTAGCATTTGTCCATTTGTCTAGCATTTGTGTGTCCATATGCCCAGTCAAATAAAACAAAACTTTCATGAAAAATGTTGAACGTAGGATCAAGATATTTTTGTCCGTCCAGTGTAGAAGGCACTGCGTGGGTACAAACTTTATTTGGAACAGAATTTTTAGTTGCACAAGAAATTACAGAATCATTTGTACGTAAAGAGCCCATATCTATGCCAAGAAGTGTGAACTTGCCTAGAAGGGTAGAAGGATTAAAGTTCAGATATTGCATCAAATCAAATCAAATCAAATCAAATTCTGTCAAGAGTTTGTGGCAGCTGTTTTTTTTTTATTAAATAATGGAGCTTGTATGTGTGCACACAGTAGCATAGTTGGTTGAGGCACTGTGCTACAAGCCAGAAGGTTGCAGGTTCAGATCCTGATGAGGTCATTGGATTCTTCAATTGACCTAACCCTTCCAGCCAAACTATGGCCCTGGGGTTGACTCAACCTCTAACAGAAATGAATACCAGGAATCTTCCTGGTGGTGAATGGCAGCTGGTTTGTAAGGCTGACCTCACCGCCATGGGAGCCTTGACATCTCACAACCCTAAGGGCTTACACAGCCTATTACAGGGATAGCTTTAATATTTTACATTTACCTTAATGGAATTTGCATAATTGTAGGTTTATGTTACATAAATAAAAGTTCAAAGTACTTTTATGTCATATAACTCTGTTTTGAAGGCATCAAAGCCCAAAATTTGTATGATGCTGGCTGTTTTCTCTGTCGCATAAGCATTAAATGACACAAAACATTGTATCTCCAAATCTAATTGAGTTGTCTGGGTGAAACTGAAGTAATATGGAATTCATTTCAGAAGCTAGCAAATGACATGTAAAACTTCCTTGTAACTTCAGATTTTCAATGTGTAAGAAAAGTATACTTGATCAAATCACTCTGAAGAAGTCATATAACATCCAGTTACATAACATTTGTTGGGAAAAGGCAACAGATTGAAAATTTGAGGAGACAGCAGCCACTGTTTCTCCTACGTATATTGTAAATTTCAACTTCTTTCTTTAATCCTTGACTGAGTTATGACTGTTTGGCTATAATAGTGCAAACTACCAAGCATGGCTTCAGTTTATATTGTCTTTTCATGTCATGCATGTGAATATACTAACTTTTCATCCAGTGACCATCCATTTCTTGTTATGCTTTCCATGCCAATCTAACAATGTCACCCATCTGTGGTCACTGGAAGGATGTTGATGGGCCTTCAGGATGTATGAATATGAAAACATAGTCAGCTTTTATTCATGATGATGCCAGTCCACCACTTTCCAACATTTGTGCAGGCATCAGAGCTATACAAGGCAATATCATTGTATGCAGTATATACGTGAAACATAACATGAAAAACTCTCATTGCATTGCAATTTAATGGTGTGTAACGGTGATATTCTCTAGTGTTTGGAACTTTCATACAGTTACTGAAACATTTCTTAAGCTTTGTTTGATATTCTGTGATGTGTGTGTGTGACTTACATAAGAATATTTTATTCCATGAGTGTTTTCTTATGAAAAACTTATACATGTCTTTGCATGGTCAGTATTTCCTTATCACAAGGGCAGTGATAACTTGTGTAGGTGCCTGTTGTTTTGTTGTTCCACCTGGCAGCGTCATTGGAACCTTTACCATGACTGGTGGCAGAGAAATGCTACTCTGTAGCAATGTCAGAATTGTTCTTTTGATTTACTAAATCGGCAACAAATTTTCTGTTCATATACTGTGCTGCATCTGAGTCACAAAAGTATGATGGCTTTTTATATTGCTCTCCAGTATCTTGATTGGCTGAATCACGGCCTTCTGAACACCATGAAATTTGATTGATATGTGTGTTATGCATTCACTAACAATACACAAGGAGCTGGGTGTCTAGTTAGATTCAGGTTGATGCATGTATATTGTAATACGATGAAATGTTACTTTGTCATTGCTTTGTGCAATCCATCCTGAATGATGAAAGAGTAGTTTTCTGCAAAATTTACTGATGTAACACATTCATGTCCATTTAAACTTTCTTTGCACTTGGTTTGACTTCAATCCTGATGCTGAGCTACAAAGTTGTGAGGATGAAAGGTGTTCCAGATCTCATCAGTCATATCAATAAATTCTTGACATGTAAGAACTGCAGTCGTTAGTGTTGAGAATCCTGTCCTACACATTGTCTGTATATGATTTAATCTGCAGATTCTGAAATTTCCGTTATAGAGAGTAACTGCATATGACATCAGACCCAGGACTACTTACGCTCCATGCTAAAGCACATTACGCTTTCTGTTGAGCATACAATTTTTTTTTTATTTTTTTTTAATATAAATCAGCTTTAAGGTGTTCTCCATGCACTGTTGGTGTTATGTTGTGATTAATCACACCGACACATTTGACCTGTCTATATTCATAAGACTTGGGGTTTGAAAGGAGGCTGAAAATTCAGGATGGGAACTGACAAAACTTCACTCATGACCTCACCTTGCTATAATTTGGCAGCCTTCTCTGTCTACATAAACTCCTTGCTGAGAATGTTTACAGTGTGGATTAAGTACCTGGTGTCGTCTTCTCTTATTGTATCTTTGTGGGCGTTGCTGTGGTGAGTCCTTCCATCTCATATAAGGCATACTTTTTTACCTTACCAGGATTTTTATTCTGCAGAATATCACNGTGAACTACCAACAGTTCGTATCTGTTGTTTGGGTCCAGTTCCATTGTTTATAGTGTTAAGGATGCTCAGTGACCCTGTTATTGTTTTCATGAGGATGTCATATTACAGGCAGTTCAAGGTCTAGAAGTGATGTTGCTAAGCAGGTGATATTTAGTGATGGAATAAGACCAGGAGGTGACTTGACAGAACTGGATGGCTCGTCAGAATCAAGACTGCCTTACAGGCGCCCAGGAAGGGTTCTCAAACGTGTTGGAACGCCACCTGGTGAGCAAAGTTACCAGCTTCTCAAACATGTCATTCTTTTGTTTCATGTAATGTAGGTAAATAAAAGTATACAGCTTGATAAAATTTTTAATTGCTTTTCCACTGTTTTGAAACTAATGATGAATTGAGGGTGGAAGTGATAAATAATATTTGTAATAATTTATTACTTTTGCTCTAAATTTGATTGTACTTAGCTGTATGGCTTGAATTTAAATAGCGAAATTATTCTATGGTACTTCATAATAGGGTGAAGTTGTCTTTAAAATTTTCACTGCACAAGTTGTTCCAAAAATGTCAGCATTTCTGTGTTACGTTTCAGAAATCTTGGTGTGTACTACTTTTAAGCAGTGCCAATAAAACTGCATTGTAAGTAATTGATTGCCATTCTGAAATTCAGGGGTATGATTCTTGTGGGTAGGTGACTGGCATAATGATGAATGTTATGCAGCCTTTCCATGAAGTCTGCCATGTAGCAGTCATAGGTTGCTTCTTGTCATGGGGAGCCCCAAACAGCAGCTTTGAGGACAAACATAGCTCCTTCCCAAACACCATGCAACAAACATTGTGCCTGTGGTCTTAAGTAAAAGTAAATGTATCCCTGTAACAGGCCATGGAGGACCATGGGGTTGTGAGATGTTGAGGTTCCCACATTTTCTAGACAGTCGGCTCATAGATGGCAAGGTTGTCAGTCCTACATGCTGGCCGCCGTTTACCCCCAAGAATATTCCAAAAACATTCCTGGTACTCATTTCTGTTAGAGGCTGAGTTGACACAGGGCCATAGTGCAGCTGGAAGGATTAGGTCAATTCAAAAAAATCCAGTGACCTCATCGGGACTTGAACCTGCGATCTTCCGGCTTGTAACATAGTGTGTCAACCAGTCTGTGGTCTTACAGGTGAATTCTCTATAGGTCAGCAGGAAGAGTGGTAGCCCCTTGTAACAATCTGATTTGTTCGTCGCGGTTACCTCCCTCAGGTGCTTCTCTGCTGTTTAAGTGTAGTGTTCTGTCATGCCATCTGACTGTGGATGCAGAGGGGTGGTTCAAGTCTTGTACACTTAAGGCACCATCACATTTCCTACAACAGTTATGACTTGAAGTTCTGGTCTTGGTTGCTGTGCAGTTCCCTCAGGATTCTGGAGTGGCAGAAGAAGTTGGTCACCAGAATGTTAGCCACTGTCAGTGCTTCCTGGTTAGGGATGGCATGAACCTTTGGTCACTTGGTGAGGTAGTCTGTGGCAATCAGGAGGTATTGAATTGTCCTCGGGCTCTTGTAAAGAGTCCTGAGATATCAATGGTGATCTTTTCAAACAAAGCACTGACGTTACACTGATGCATCAACTCTGGGTTCAGGAATCTTGACTTGCTGTGCAGATGTCACAGTTGGCATCACCTCCTCAATGTTGATCCTCATATGTAGACAATAGTACTGCTGTCTGACTTTGTCCAGGGTTTGTGTTGCCTTTACATCGAGTTGTGTCACCTGCTCACTATTTACCTTGTGAAGACTCTGGGCTTGCTCCTGAACCGGTGTCATGGTGCCCTTGAAGTGTCTGTTATTGTTTTTTGCTCTGAATGACCTTCCTTTTCAGGTTCTTCCTGGCCAGCACATTCATCCTGAGTTCTTTGAATTTGTCTTATCTGGTGCTTATGTATTTCTAAGTTCTTTGTGCACTTCCAGTTTGTTTTTGCTGGCAGTCAACTTACTTAGCTGCTCCAAAATTTCTTCTAAAACTGGATCTCTCTCTGATCCAACTTCTGACATCAGTTGTAACATTTGTCTTGTTTTTGATCAGTTATTTTCAGTTTGTCAGTAACATTCTTGGCATCAGTTTTAATTCCGTACTAATTCACTGGACACTGCTGCACTCTGCTTTTGGACTCAACTCATCACTGCCACCATTGGACACACGGCATGCCTATCATAGCCCTCTTTCGCCACACATGAACACTGCATGCCACTCTTACGTGCAGACTGACTGACTTGAGGCTAGATGCTATTGTTTTTTGTATCTAATCTTTCTAGAATGGCCCTGCGCCTTTGTGAGTGTAGGTCTGGAACCTTTGAGAGAAATCCATGCACATATGCTTCCACCCCCATCGCTCACATGGCAGTGTAATTGAGCACGTTAGCACAGTACTAATATATCTACCTTGCATTTGAAAGCTGTCTGGTTTGAATCTTCACTGCGCTGGATAGCAGCAGTCATAACATTGTTCATAGTTTTCTGCTCTCCATCCTTGTGTTTCCAAGGATAGTACCTTCACATAGGCCACAAATGCTTCCGTTCTCCTCTCACCTTGTCTGTCGTATATATATTATTCAGCACTACATAAACCCAGCAGTTAATAAAAACCTTACTTACGGAGCTGAACTCTTCTTGAGGATCTGCTACTTTTGCAACTGCTCAAGAATTCCCAGCATTTTACAGAACCCAAAGATTCATTACCATGTTCACAAGAGCCCTCCACAGGTCCCTATCCTGAGCCAGGTCAATCCAAACTATACCATCCCATCCTATCTCTCTTAAGATCCATTTTAATATTGTTCACCAACCTACGCCTTGGTCTTCCTAGTGGTCTCTTTCCTTCTGGCTTTCCCACCAATATCCTATATGCATTTCTCTTCTCCCCATTCATGCTACATGCCCTGCCCACCTCATCCTCCTTTACTTGATCATTCTAATTATACTTGGAGAAGAGTACGAGTTACAAAGCTCCTCATTATGCAGCATTCCCCAACCTCCTGTCACTTCATTTCTCTTTGGTCAGAATACTCTCAACACCCTGTTCTCAAACACTCTCAGTCTGTGTTCCTCCCTTAATGTCAGAGACCAAGTTTCACATCCATACAGAACTACAGGCAATAATAAAAACCTTAGAATAATAAATAAAAGTGAATGGTGACTAAAGTGTATAAGAATAATAGTAGTGGGACCTACTGTATATGGAGAAGCAGCAGAGGCAGTCATCTGAGAGCTAAGTCATGACAGATTTATCCTGGAGTATATAAAAAAATCCAAAAATGACTAAATGTTGCTGAAATGACCTTATTCTCTCAGAGCTGTTGACTTAGAGAAGGAAGACATTTTGGCATAATACCCAAAAGAATTTTCAGAATTTTTTTTTAGACATGTGTTTACTTATATTGCAACTTTTTATGTATTTAATATGTTTTAGGTCCTCCTACCTCTGCTTCAAATCATTCCAGCCAGAGATTGCTACCTCCTCTTGATCCCAAGACAATGAGCTACATTCCCACAGACAGAGGTAAACAGATTCTTTATCACACCTGCAAGCTGGTCATTTACTGATTGCAGTTTTGTTTTCTCCTACATGTATATCATAATCGATGAGATATTTTTCATTGACAGGTGGATGCTTTCATCTGAACCCTAATGAATTAATTACATCATCATTCATCAGTACTGAATGACAGAAAGTTCTTTCTAAAGAAAGCTTTTGTAACTAAATAATATTTCGTGTAATCCCGTGGCCTGTAGTCCGCAAGCAAACTCTTCTGACTGAGAAAGTGCCGCTTGTTGAGAGGACCGCCTCTGTGGTCTAGTGGTCAGAGTTCCTGGCTACAGATCCAGAGGTCACGGGTTCGATTTCTGGCGCTACCAGATTTTCTGAGAAGTAGTGGGTCTGGAACAGTGCCCACTCAGTCTTGTGAGGATAATTGAGGAGATATGTCAAGGAAATAGCAGCTCCAGTCTAGAAAACTCAGATTAATGGCTGTGGGGATCCATTGCGCTGACCACATGACACCCTCTATATGCTAAAGTTGGCACTGATATTTGGTGTAAGCTAAAAGTATTTAGTGGAGATACATGCAAGGGAAACTCTGAGGGGAAACAGATAAAGACTTTGGGGTTACATTCATATAATCTAAATTTTATATGTAAGAATATCCACACTGTAATATCAAACATTTACACTTGCAGTTTGTTCAGAACTTTGCGACTGTCAGTTGTTAAAATCGGTGGGCAAGAATGTCTCCAGAATATTTGATAGTAGAGAAACACGTCTTATAACAGGCGTGTTTCATTTCCTGTAATCAATATGTGGATAATACAGATTCCAGATTAAGGAAGATTGTCTTCAGGAATTGGGCATTATGCTAGAAATATTGAGTTTTCTCCCACATAATTACATTGGAACCCTACCCTTAAAAATATTTGCACATGTCCTGTTACTGTGTTTCAATAACAGAATCATTTATGTTACTTTTGTAACACATTTCATGGTGCGATAGTAAATATGAACCATCAGTGTGAAATCATTGTGGTTAATTCCACCAGTTGTGGTCTCCTCAGCCTTCCTGAGTTTGCATGCCTTGATGGTGGAGGCATGTGTGAAGGCATGTGAAGTAGGGTACTGTTACTGTCATCATAGTGACCAGAGGTGACTCACTTGGATGATGATGTCATCACCATCATCTCTCCCACCCACCCGCCCACCCCAATGAATAGCAGATTTCTTCCATTTGGTTTCATTTGCTCTTCTAAACTTGCTCTTCGCCCCCCCCCTTCACCTGTAATATGGCTGTAATTTAATACCCATATTGTTTCAATTTTATTTTCAGGTTTACCACCCTTGGCTGTAATTAATAAGGGTGAAATTAAATTTGTTGATGTGGTGGACCAAGATAAACAGATGGCAATACTAAGGTCTGAGACTGAACCACCTACAGTATTTGCCATCAACAGGAATCTCTTCGTTCAAGTAAAAATTCTGAACTGTAAGTCAGTATGCAGATATTTTACTTCTGTATTTTATTTAATGGCCGGTCATGGTAGCCGAGTAGTCTAAGGCATGCACTGTCTTCGCTCGCTCGGAAGCCGGGATTGTGGGTTCGAATCCCACTCAGGGCATGGATGTTTGTGTGCGTTTTTCTGTGTTTGTGTACAGGGATAGGCCTTGCGACGAGCTGATCACTCACCCAAGGAGTCCTACCGCATGTGTAAGATCTAGAAAAACTGAAGTGAACGGTGTTCATGGGTGCCAAGGAAAAAAAAAAAATTATTTAATGATGCTGTCAGTAACTCATACTATGGCTGCACCATAGCTCAAGTGGTTAGTCGGTGGCTTCCCACCACGGCGGCCTGGGTTCGATCCCGGGTCTGGTCAAGTGGGATTTGTGGTGGACAAAGTGGTGCTGGGGCGGGTTTTTTCCAAGTACTTCAGTTTACCCTGCCAGTCTTTATTCCGCCAAATTCTCTATCATCATAATCACCAGGGGTAGGCTACAATAGGCCAATCAGTGGCCGCCGTGCCGAGTGGACCCAGTTTGACTCCACCCCCCACTAAGGGAAAACTCATACTATACAGATTCAAATGACTGGTTGATTATGACTGTTAAATAGGAAGGGCTGTGGGAGGAAGCATCCATGAGCTAATTTAAGGCACTCAGCAGCATTTGCTTCACCACACTGGGAGAAACCATGGAGAACCTCAGTAAGGAGAGTCCAGGCACCTTCCAAATACAAATTAGAAGCAGTACAACTTAAGTCAACTTGCTTAGTAGTAGCGTACAAAAGAAAACTCTTGAAATAACTTAAGTTGTGCTGCTCTGCTTCAATTGTGTCTGTATAGAAAGGACAACAAAACTTAAATTAAATAATTAGCATAATTACTAATGACGTAGTTGCAGGTGCTGTTCTAAAATTTTAATCTGAAAGAAGGGGTGTGATGTATACATTTTGATTCATAGAATGTAACAGATTTGTGACATGGTGCTTGTTCAGTACAGTTGTCTCAATAACCCATTGTTTGATCACATTTGCAACTGTGAACGTAGTTGTAGGAATTCAGAAGTTTAACACAGGAGATGTTAAATAAGAAAAAATGTTAAAAATAAAATCAATTTCAATTCAGAGATCTTAATAGAGTTTTTTTTTGCTATTACAACAGATGTAGCTACTCATAATTTGCAGAAAAATTATATCATAATGTCTGAAGCATATACAGTTACCTTTCATATTGAATTATGTGGTATTTATGATGTATTGTATGTTAGAATATCAGTTATTTCATGTTTCTTGTTTTCATGCACAACATAAATGTTTGACCGTTTGGGAGACTTGGGCTCGCGTAGGTTGATAATATTAAATTTGAGTCATACATGTTGGCTGTAAACTAGATTTGTCAGAGTGGGCAAATTTTACTTCACATCATAATCTGTGAGCACTACTGCGTGTATTTATTAGTAGGAAATTTGAGGAATTGTGTTGTGGTTTATTTTGAAGTACAGCATCAACGATCTCCTGAGGAGATTTGGGAGAAACGCCATAAGTCTTAGAATATAGGTAGTTGGTATTAACCTGCAACACTGTTATATATGACAGTATTTTCCCAGTAAAATTTGTACCTCAAGGAAAAGTCTGGGATGGTTCTCTTTCAGTGGACTGTTGTGTCAGTCGAACATGTTGGTGCTTCTCAACTTCGGGGATGAGCTGTGTGGGCCAAGATGAAATTGTCATAATCCTGGAATGTCTGCCAGATGAAGCAACTGTACCAAAGGACATCTTCAGACACCTCAACACACTTTATCAAGATGCCTCAAGAGGTAAAGAATTAAGTCTTTATTTACTGTTCACCCTGACCTCATTTCTGGTCCTGAAAATCCATTCTTTTTATTAAAAACTAAGATAGTCCAACATAGCACTGCCATTAGCCACATTATTGTGTGTGCCAGTGAATACATATTCCTGTCTGATATGTTTTCATGTGAATTCTCGTAACATATTTTAACAGCAATATTTCTTCATGATTTGGGCCCTTTATCAAGACAACAGTTATCATCTTCTTCACTGAACTCAATGCCAATTGGCTATTGCTAAATGCAATGTAGCAACAGCTTCTTTGAGATAAAGTACAATGTAAAATTTCACTGTACAGATAGATGTTCATCACAAATTGTAACACTTGTTTTTACTATATTTATTACTGTTCTCATCTACTGTATGTTCACTTACCATATTTCTGGTATATGTCCAATAGTATTTTAATTTTGTACCTTCTTCTTCTTCACTCTTATCTAGAGATTTATGTGTGGGGACATTGTGCCACCTGATAGTTATACTGCTTTATGTTATAGAAATCTTCATAACAATGGCTGTGAGAACTTAAAACTCTGCATAGGATGATTACCTTGTAGTTCGTAATTAATTATATTTTAGTTCACTAATTTTTATGGTGATGGACTATGTAGAAAATGAAATAGTCATGGTTCTGTAGTAGTTCTGCCTTGTACTCAACTGTGATTTTCTGAGATATGCTACAAATACTTTGCATCACAGACTATATTGATGGATTTATGTATTTTTTTATTTTTTAACCTGGGCTCAGTTCATTCTCATGATCAGCATGCTGGTCCCATGTGATATGTTAGTGTTTTACATAATAATCAGTGTGGAATAGTCGTTTTGGGTTCTGGTTTGTTAGATGCAGAATCAGCCATATGAGTTTATTACATTCTGATGTATTAAGCATGCAAAAGTTTTTATGCTCATCTTTCATTGATTACATTTTTTGAAGAATACAGTTGAAACGTTATCAGTCTGAAGCTATTTGTATAGAATTGAAATGAATGAAGTTGTTATAGTTTCATGCAAATGTTCTTACATTTTCTAGAGCCCTTCATAATGAACCTACAGTATGAAAGTAAACTGTTTAACTAGTTCTTTGATTTCAATTCTCTCTCCCTCCCTCTCTCTCATCTGTCCCATTCCCCCCCCCTCTCATTCTCACTCTTGTTTCCCTTTCCCCTCTCTTCTCCTTTGTCTCACATGAATCTGTCATCTTCGTGGTTTTAGTATGCAAGCGAACTATACGGACCGAGCGACCGCTGCTTGTCAGAGAAGTTAGTGCCAACTTTAGCAGATAGAGGGTGTTGTATGGTCAGTGCAACGAATCCGCATGGCCAATAATTTCGGTTTTCTAGACCAGAGCCGCTATTCCCTTGAAATAGCTCCTCAGTTATCATCACGAGGCTGAGTCGGCCCCGTTCCAGACCCACTACTTCTCAGAAAATCTGGTAGCGCCAGGAATCGAACCTGGAATGTTATCAATGTTGAGATACCATTGTTTAGTTTTTATCAATCTCCTTTTCACATATTAGTTATAGGTAAGAGTTCTTAAGAGGGCCTGCCCTCAATACTTTTCTAGTTAACACGTGTAGTAAAATAATATTTGTAAAATGGTTTGTGTTCATTTTGCTTGCAGGAAATACAGTGAGCGAGTTGGGACATACAGTATTCCAAGGAGTACCATTCCTTGATTCAACTGAACATGGTGGCTTCATTTACATCCGTCCCTCCTTTCAGTGTCTGCAGAAACTTGTACTGCCATCATCTCCATATTTAGTTGCAATTCTTGTGCACAGGTATTAGATTCATGCAACTTGGAAGTGATATAAGTTGTGCAAGGGAGAATGTTGATTTGTAACAGTCATTTCTAGGTAGTGGACAGGCTTCCCAGCTAGTGAATTTAGCACCCTACTCAGGAATTTTGGTGGAACAGTTTATCTCAGATGTCAGAATTATTAATTTGTTGTGTAGTGGTGTTTATTTTGTTTTCATACTGGCAGCAAGGTTATTAACATTAAATAAACTTTGTGTTTAATATATTGATATATTTTTCAGTCATATAGTTGGTCTTATCATTCCTCTAAAAGAGAACGTTTGTTAAAGTAATCTCTGAATGTTGACAAAAGTGTTTTGATATCATAAATAATTTTAATTGGAATTAAACTGTTACACGTGCTATCTTAAAGTTTCAGTCATGATCGTAAAGCTCATTCAACCAGATGCTTCAGATTTGTTAACATGCTCCCATGTTACAAGGTTTTGAAATACTGTGTAACCCTTGAAGTTTCTGTCATTTTTCAGGTGGGAGACTCCATGGGCAACAGTTTTTCCTATCCGCCTCATGTTAAGACTTGGAGCACAATATAGGTACTACCCGTGTATGTTAGTATCCATAAGGAATAGAAGACCAGTTTACTGGGAAATTGGTCATACTATCATAAACCTCCTAGCTGTAAGTATAAAAATGGAGCTGGCTACATTGATTGTTTTTAATTCTGACGGCTATTAAATTTTGTCTTCCTAGGTTCAAAGTGGAGAATTTGGACTGCCTGTTTTACAGGAAACCCCATGTTTGGGCATAGGAAAGACTTTGTTATGATTACAGATTATAGAACAGTTATAAAAAGAATATCATCAAGTTACAACAAATTTTGATTGACCTTCACTGAAATTGAAATGCATTCTAATAGGCATCAGTGATAGTGCTTAATTTTTATTTTATGCTTAATAATAATAATAATAATAATAATAATTATTATTATTAAAAATTCCACGACCTCCGCCGGGTTTGAACCCGTGTACCTTGAGTCATGAGGTGGGAACGTTACCCCTAGACTATGGAGGCTGCTACCTGTTTCATTAACTGTCACTTTAGTATTTGTTTTGGCATACTTTTTATAGTCATAAATTTTAAGAAAAATAATAAATTATTGTAATTTTTCTTATCTCTCCTCTTCCTCCAACTTTGGAGCATAGAGCTGATTTCTCAGTTTCATGATCACTTTTACAGAGGGTAGGATTCCTTGGATGGGTGATGAGCTTGTCAAAAGGTCTCTACCTAAACACAGGACAACACAAACAGAATAAACATATATATACACACCAAACATCCATACCTTGTGTGGGATTCGAACCCATGATATCTGCTTATGAGCGAGCAAAGATGGTACATGCCTCAGATTGCTCGGCTACCATGACTTGCATTATAATAATTAGATTGTGTAAATGACCAGCTACTTTATTATCAACTAGTTTCCAGTGTTAAGGACATTGAAATAGAGTGAGGATTATTCAGATGAGAACTGCAGTGATGTCACTATAAATATTAGTATTATTAGTTGTTATGCCCCAAATTTGAGATTGAAGAGGGTATTCTATTATCAAAAAGCTAGAGACTTGCGAAAAGAGTTTCGCAGCTATTGCCGTAAATTGTAAACACTAGGACTGGCAATTAGGTTAAGAATGTAAAGACTCAGCAGGTCTATGTAATCACAAAGCCAGTAGCTTACCTCACTCGTAACCTGGATTCAATCGCAAGAGACTGCTGACACCGCAATAAGACGCAAGGGGGTCCACCCACAACCACCCAGGAGAGCCAATGAGGAGGTTATTATGAGGATTGAGGGCACTGAGGGGGAGTCACCTACCCTCTGTCATCAGTGCCAAATCAGCGAATTAAAACGATAAATTAGGGAACTTCGGGGGGATTTGGATCATGTTTTAACACAGAATATTCACTTGTCAGCCGGAGGCTCTCGGCAACATGGGTATGACCAGCGGAGGTAGCGGGTCGGTATCTTGTACTTCACGTAAGTTTGTTTACGCATATTAGCCATGCCGATTGATAATATCGTTGTTTCATAGTATTGGTGATACAGTGTGTTGAGCTATTGAATGTGCAATTTCCAGTGTACCCAGTGAGCCCTGAGGGTAGGATACCAGGAACATGTAAAAGGCTAGGATACTAGTCAGGCAATCAGTGATTTATAGGATATATATCAAGGTTAGGGTTAGTATGTTGTAGTAAAGATAGTAGGCGGGATTCAATACGTATAACCAAGGATAGAGTAGGTTAAGAGGTATAGATAGTGTACTTATATATGTTGAGAGTAAGAANTCTGCTTATGAGCGAGCAAAGATGGTACATGCCTCAGACTGCTCGGCTACCATGACTTGCATTATAATAATTAGATTGTGTAAATGACCAGCTACTTTATTATCAACTAGTTTCCAGTGTTAAGGACATTGAAATAGAGTGAGGATTATTCAGATGAGAACTGCAGTGATGTCACTATAAATATTAG